GTGTCTGGCAATGACCCCAGCATCTTCCGGCAAGACTGAACTACACCTGTGAGATTAGCACTAAGTACCCCCATTTAAACTATTCTGGGCAAATGATTCTATTTCTATTCTATGGTTTACATCTTTCTTTCAAAAACTCCCAGAATGTCAGAGCAGCTGGGGAGCCTTAGAGATCTCTGTAGCTGCGGTTCTGCAAGTCCTTCTACTCATGGTCACTGAGCATCAGATGGGCTCTATGCGCCACTGCCAGGAAGAGGGCCCAGGCCTACCCTTCTGCAGGTACTTTCCAAAGGACAATGCTCAGTCACCACTCTTCATCCCCTTTGTCCTTGCTGAGAGTCCACCTGCCTTCTTAACAGGCTGAAAATGGCAAATGGTCTGTATCCAGACTTCCCTGAAGCTGAGATGCAGACATGTGTCCTAACGCTGGCCGGTTGGAAGTCAGTCTACTGGGATCAATGGAGAAAAGGATTTCTTTCTGGTGAAAGGAGAATGGGAGAGAGTCTCTCTTTCCTGCCTTTGGATGTTGATGCTGTGAGTCCCATCTGCCATCTTGCAAAGGTGAAGGGAAAGCCCAGAGATTTACAGAACTGAATGAACCAATCTGGCCACTGCTCACTTCTTGACAGAGATGTTTCCTATTGTTAGCGGAGCTTTCCTTTCCTATTTTATTTTAGCACAGAAGAACTGTGGTGTAGGCCAGAGGTGTGGGGGTTGAGAATTCACCAGAGACAGAGTAGAAAACAGAAGTGGATTTACTGAAATACACTGCTGAGGGGAGCAGCAGGTGAGACAGGAGAGGTCTGCTGAGCCATGTGGGTTAACTCCCTGGCCAGGGATCGAACTCAGGCTGTCACAGTGATAGCTCTCAGACTTAATCCCTAGGCCACCAGGAAGGTCTCAGAGCTTTCCTTTTCTTACACTGCAAAGTGGCGAGCAGCCTGACAGTGGATTTTCTGATGACCATCAGGGAACTTCTAAGAGTCCATGGGTCCAGCTGAGAAAACTGTAAACTAGGGCCTCCCTGGTAGCACAAGGGGTTAAGACGCAGCACTATGAAGCTGTCCGCAGCCACTGCAGCATGAGTTCGATCCACAGCCCGGGAGCTACTCACATGATGCAGCAGACCTCTCCTGACTCGCCCACTGCTCCCCTCAGCAGTGTATTTCAGTTGATCTGCCTCTTCTGTTCCCACTGTCTCTGGTGAATCCTCTTGCCCCCCACACCTCTGGCCTGTACCCCAGTTCTTGTATACATAAACAAATCCTTAAAAAAAAAACCACTCTGAAGAACTATAGTCAAAATAAGGGGGGGGTGCAATTGTATGGGGAATATAACAAAAATGAAAATGCATACATTGTGCAAAGACGAAAAATGATGTAAGAGTTATATAAAATAAAATATTAAAACAAACAAACACTGTGAACTAGAGTCTGTGTTCTCTAGCTTTCTTTCGGTGACTAGTCATCAGCCTATAGGAAGGCAAAGACAGGTTGACCACAGTTCTCTAAGCCACGTTGGGCTGTTAACTTTCTGGGAGAGTTTGTATAAAAAGCAGACTTCATATATAGCAGATGAGGAGTGAGACATCATCCCGGAAACCACAGGTTCTCAACCTGCTCAGTTCCAGCCAGCGTTGGGACCTGGTACAGTCTGTCACCTCTCTGAGCTTGAGTTACCACATCTGGCTTCATCATGCTACACTGTCGTGATTTTTGTTGGCATCAGTTGAGCTTTACTTCTTTACGGCCATGTAACATCAAAACACAGCCCATCTCCCATTTGGGCAAAGAGCATTGAGAGGTAAGTGTGCGCAGGCCACACAGGACTTGCTGCCTGCCTATTATCAGGGAGAACAAGGCAGGAGCCAGTGTCACTTCCTGCTTCTCACCATCCTCCATCAGCACTCAGTCTTCTTGTTTGTCCTCCACAACCCACACGTTTGCCTGCCTGCTAGTTCTATAGCTTGAACTCTTGTTGGTTCAGAGTAACAAGATCCTTTAAAAATTGTATTTCTGAAATCCCTGTAAAGTGTTACACAGAAACATGGCTCACACCTCAAAGCTTTGCTATTGGCTCCCAGTCAAAGTTGCACACTGGCTTATTCAAATCTAAAAGGCCCAGCCTGGCCCCTGGGTGAGTACCACATGGCTAAAATTAGCCTGGCCATCTGCTGAGACAGCAGCTGGGCTATTCTGAGTCTCAGCAGGCCTGCCTGGAAGTGGGGCTGGAACTGGAGGAACAGTGTTGGAGAGGCTGGTCCTTTCAGTCAAGGTGGACTAGAACAGGGAGAAAGAAGCCATACTAAGGAAAGGCCACTGTCAGATCGAAAAACTGGGCACAGTTCCCCTTATAGTCTTGGACTCTTCTTCCCAAGAAGGTCCCAAACAGCTTCCTACTAAGCACAGGAGCACGGGACTTTGCTGCTTGTCCTGTTCCTTTTTTTTTTTTTTAACCTGGAACTTGCTGTGTAGACTCAAACCCCTCTGGGACTTGAGGAATAATGGCTGAGATGTACCTAGGAGCATACCAAATATTCTATGGGGATTAGCAAATACATTTTCAAAACAACTCAAGAGGAAGGTACCAGAAGATTGCAGGGATTCAGAATGACTTGGTTCATCTTGGTTAAAAGGGCCAGACAGGGGGAAGCCTTGGCTTAGACCAGATACTCCATAAGCAAGAATCTGTTTAGTATATAAATATTCTAACCCTCACCGGAGATCCCGGGCTCAGGTCAGTTAGATTATAGTCATCTACGGTCTCTTAACTGGTTGCCTCAACACTTGTTTCTCTACAACTGGCATTTATAGAGCCACAAATCTGTTACCTGTTAACTCCCCCCTATCCACTTTGTACTTCTGCCCTCAGCCCCTGTGTCCTGTGATCACACTATCCACTAGTCTGGGGGGGCGGGTGGGGAAGAGGAGGGACGACCTTTTTTTAACAATGGCCAAGTCACTGAATAGGAAGTGTTTACAGGCTTTAATTTACTTTTCAAAACTAGTGTCTGGCAATTTGAAAGACCTTGTCTGAAATAGGGATGGGAACACCTTCCCTAAACAAAACAATTCCCTGGGCCTCCCCGGTGGTGCAGCGGGTTGAGCACAGCGCTGTGAAGCTGTCTGTAGCCTCTGCATTGCAGGTAAAATTCCCGGTCGGCCAGGGAGATTCCCAAATGGTGCGGCTGACCTCTCCTGACTCGCCTGCTGCTCCCCTCAGCAGTGTTTTTGGTCCATCTGCCTGTTCTGCTCCCTGCTCTGTCTCTGGTGAATCCTCTCACCCTTCTGCAGCTCTGGCCTGTACCCCGATTCTTGAATAAATAAATCTTTAAAAAAAACCCAAAAACAAATCCCAATCTTGTGGGAGCTGACAGAGAATTTAGGGAAAGTGACATAACAGACATGCAAAATCCTTACACTAGCTAAGTGACATCAAAGTGTAATAAAATGATCTCCAACAGAAGCCATTCCTGGCATTTAGTGAGAAAATAAGTTTTCAATGTAAATACAGAACACAGTGCACGTAGTACCATGTACACTTCACGGACCAGGCTACCACTGGATTTCATTTAGGGTACAGCAAAAAAGCACGGTGCCTGAAGTTCACTTCAAGGTGAAGTCCCATTTAGCACTCTCCAGCGGCTTCACAGCAGGGCTCTGGGAGGTTGAAAGAGCTGTTCTCCACCTCCAAAAGAGGGCACTACTGGGGGGAGGGGTAGCAAGAGAACTGCCAATACAGACACCATGAGTTAACATAATGTGGTGCTTTTGCTTGGCATGTTTGAGACTGTGCGCATGCGCTACTGGGTAGAACAGTGTGGTCTGAAACATGAGCCAAGTGCCACCCTGGGCAGCTGCCCTGCCTCCAAAGGCATTTTCAGGCAGCGGCAGAACGCAGCTCCCCATGGGCGGAACACAGCCCTCTTTCTCTCACTGAGAACCCCATCTTTCGGTGCAAGGTTATTTTTAGTTTCACCTGCACACATTTTAGGTGCTACCCTGACACAGGACTTGAATTTTTAAAAAAGCAAACCAAAATGTGAGTATTGAAACACAATAGAAGAAAAATATGGATTGAGAAATGGGTATTTTTCTTTAAGAAAGAAATCAGTTTTCATCAGTCTTGATTCAGGGAACCTATTAAGCAATCATTCAAACCTAAAAATACTTTGTTTAATCAGGTGTTGTGAGGTAATTGCCTTCCCCTGCACTAATAAGAGGCAAAGAGTCAGATTACCCAGGACCCAGCGAGCCTAGAGCCTTATGAATAGCTGGCTGACGGGAGAGGGTAAGAGGTCAAAAGTAATAAAGATTTTCAGAAAAATTAAGGACACTGAAAAAAGACAAGGACTTGACTGTTAGCAAACTGACTTGCTGGAGTTTCTGTATTTGGAATCTGACACCTTAACCTGGGTCTGGGTGGTCCTCAGGTTTATTCGCTACAGGATGCAGTCAGTTTGTATACGCATCACCTGCTGTTATACCCACTTTAATGCAGCTTAACCAACAGAAATGTTAAATGCTTTTCTTCTTTCCTATCTTGAATGATGGAATGGTGTCTGTCCTGTTTCCCTCAACAAAACCCCAGTATAATTTTAGATCTGAGATCAATGCTGCCTTTCCTTGCCCGAGATTCTCCTTTTTGGTCCACATTTCCCATTCCCCTTCCCTAAAAGAGCAAAAGGGCTAACAGATATCACCTGGCTCTCAGGGAACTTGAACACAACAAGCATCACTCTCAATTACGACACTATGAGGCAATGCGGTATGTGTAAAAATAATGCTCCACAGAAACGAACAAGTGGACAGGAGCTTCATCACCACATGTCTCTGAGAGTTGAAGAGAAGTAGCAGCAGCTCCTTGGCTCGCTGCCTGGTGTGCTGCCGTGCGGATGGGGAGTGCCCACTGGGGTCCACAGACGCCATCCAGAACCCTTGGTAGTCTTTGTGCATGTTGTGCCGTGAAGATTAATCAGGTCTGTAGTCAGAATAAAAGCAAGCACACAAAACAGAAACAGAAGCGATTTCCATTTTAATTCAGAGTTAGTACTAGCCCTTGGGTATACCAGTGATATAGTTTTAATTGGAAGACAAAACTGCTCATAGGAAAGTCAAGAAATTCAAACGCATCTAAATTTACTGTATACTGCATATTCTGAGAGTTTCCACATTCATGTGTCTCTAGAAAAGGAAAGCACTTTGTTTCTGAGTATGAGAAATTGTTGCTATTCCTCCTTTTGGTCTCCTCAGACCCCTCACAAAAAAAACAAAACAAAAACAAAACTACTAAAAGGGTAACAAGAAATGCAAAATAAAAAATCTAAATAGTATGAAATTAGTTTTTATTTTTAACCTCAATATAAAGGCTTAACATTTTTCCAAAATCAAAACTAAAGATGAAAGTAGGGTGAAGTATCCTTTCCCTGTCCGGGGAAACCAGTAAGGCAGACCTTCTAATGTGGCTCGGTTCTTTCCACAGGACTAGTCTAGGCAAAACAAACACCTCTCCCCAACTTTTCATCTATCATGGGTTGTAACTGCCAGGGAAAAACAAACAACCCCCACCCCCCCCTCAAAACCAATGCAAACAAGGGATTTGAAAAGTTGGGAAAAATTGTTTAACATGTGACCACGTGTTCATATAAAATCCTTTCTAGGAGATTTGAGGAAACATACTGGCCCCAGCAACTGAGCCGGGTTTCTGCCTGGGAGCGGTGCACTGCGTGTCAGGTGAATTCATACCAGTCACTAGCTGTGACTTGGCCATGGCTCAGTTCACCACAGAGATGTCTTAAAATTGAATTTCAGCTTCAGCAGATACTTCAAATTTACCTGAGCAATATCGTAGACAATGTATCTGGAGGGGAGGCGTGTCAAGGAACAAATGGTATCCCAAGGGGAAAGGATGCAATCCACCCCAAGCACGCAATCCCACCTGCATGTACACCTACCTGGCTGATAATGGGCGGAGTCACGTCTCTCACCGGGTTCAGGGAGAGGCAGTGAGGGGAAGCACTCACCACAAGACGCATCATAGGAGAGTCACCAGTGAGTCTGCCCCGGGCAAACTAGCAGCACACACACATCAATTCTGTGGGCTCGCACCGCACACTTTCAAAAGGATACTCATTATACAGTAGGCAGGTGTCATTAACCCCAGACGAAATCCCGGTTCCCAGAGGAACCTCTACACCGTCCATAGTAATACTAGCTGAAGGGTCAGGGGTAGTCTTGCCCAAACCTGTAAAATAGAAGGCCATGGTGATAGGAATCGTGAGAACAGATGTTGAAAATATTCCATGGTGATCTATTTTATGGTGGGTCTGTGTGCTCATTTTAAAGACAGGAATCCCATACTCGATCCTTCCTGATATAAAACTATAGATTAAATATATGAAGTTCCCAGGGCATCAGCCTTAATTAACCTTAAGAATAGCAGCAATACCCCCTCCCCTGGGGATATTTCTGCTGAGTAGAACACAAAGCAGTCACTTCAACCAGGAGTCCAAGCGGAGGTTCTCAATCACCTGTTCCGGGAAGAGGCCCCCAGTGCTGGAGAGCTAATGTTCAGGTGAAAGCCCAAGCCAAGAGGCCTGCTCACTGGCACCGGGACACAATTCTCTACAGCATTTGTGTTACTAGCACAGCCAGAGAGTGAAATGATTTTTCAAAGAACTCCAGCTGTTTCCACAGCAGCTAGCTACAGGGAGGCAGGCTTTTGGCGGGGGAAGTCACTCTGTCCGTATTATCCAGGGTGCCTGGGGTTGGTGCAGCAGCTGCTCAGACACAGTACCTTTGACACTGTGCTTGCCCTTGGGTAACTTGCTGATGTGCGAAGCATGCTTCAGTTCATACCTAGTCAAGAGAGGACAGTCTCAGGAGAGGCTCCCGACAGGGACTCTCAAACCAGTCATGTGAGCAAACACCTACAGAATCCAGTCCAAGTTCACTGCTCCTTCCCATTCTGGCTCCAGAAATGGAAGGTGCACTTTTTTGGGAATAGTTTGTGTCAATGATTACTGCTAAGGGCCACTTTCAAGGACAGGTCCTGTTAGAGGTGTGGCAGGCTACTCTGGAGGTTTCTGTGCAGCCCATGGTCCCTGGAGCCCTCCCGGTCTATTACATGACCCTGCCATTTGGTTACAGTTGATGGGACCAAGATGGACAGTCAATCCAAACTGGACCAATCAGATTTTCTCTGTGGGGAATATGGAAGTGGAATTAAGATTCCAGTTTGATCTGAGCTGATCTCATAGGTAATATCTAGCCATCAGCAGGGGAAGGAAGATCAGGGGTGCCCATTCTTTACGCAATTTAACCAACCTGCTTTCCAGTTCACAGGAAGAATGGACACAGAATGGACACTGCCAGATCCTGAGACCTGGCTGTATTGTGCCTTGGGTTTTGTGAGGTACGACTTTATCTACCTTGTTCACTTATTCGGAATTGGTTTCTGCGGGCCATCACCTTATGGGTGGGTCCTGTAAATATGGTACAGAAAATTTCCAAGGATCTCTCCCAGCCAAGGGGGAATTCTCCTTACAGTACACCCCAGTCATCCTCAAGTGCTGCCAGCCCCAATGCCAACCTTACTCACATGTTTCCAAGGGCAACTTCTCCCAACAGGATTAAGCCTATTGGGTCTCCCTGAGACGTGTGGCAGTAGTTGGCACTCTTGGAGACCATATCGGCGAAATAGATTCCTTTACCAAACATGTAGCCCGTCTGGAGGATTGGAAAAGGGACAGGTGAAAACCTGCTAATGGAAAGTTGGCAGCACCACCTACTTATTAAACACTGACCATGGATGGACAATAAGCTTAGTGCTGCATCCCCCCCATTTCCAATTCTCACCCCCCCCCCCACCCGCAAGGGGCAAATTGACGCTTAAGCTCAGGAGCCAGCTGTTCAGGTCCTACCTCTGCAGGGCACCTGGGGCTGCAAGTAGTTACTTAACTCTCTCTGGACCCCACTCTCCCCTTCTGTGAACTGGGTAAGAGCCTCATGGGACTGCTGGGAAAATTAAATGTGCAAGTAAACACTATATGAGGACTAGTGCCTGGCACATGTAAATACCTCATAAATGCTGGCTGTTATTTTCCTTTTGTAAGTGAAAACATGAAGCTCAGGGAGGCTAGGACATTTGCATGTCACCTGCTCATGGCACACAGCACTATCAAGTCATTAAATCTCGTGGCTCCTTAATTGTTACTACTATAAAAGAAGGACCTGGAAGATTTGTCTCTGAAGGGTCACTCCTACTATCCAGCAAGTGTGTTAACAGCTCCTTGCATCTGGGCGGGGCTTTACACATGTTATACATATTAAGGAGGAAGACACCACAGCTCATGGAGTTTGCAGGGCTGAGAAGGGTAGAGGCAGGTCTGACCTCAGCTTATGCCTGGCCACAAGGCTGTTCTTTCACATGTCAACATAAACCATCAGTGTACACAGCAGGGAATGGACACTTCTTTGGTTCTAGAAACTATGCTTAATACATGTGTAGCTATACCGTGGACATTTAGGGTTAGGAGAATGCAGGGAAGGCTCAGCCTGAGGTAAGGATCTGGAACCCTGCAACCTCCATCTCACCAGCCACAGCTGGGGCAACACCTCCAGTTTTAAACAAGAGTCCCTATTCATGGAGGTGCATGGATGACTCACCCAAGCATCTGAAAAGCTCCTAGTGGATACAGCTGCAGAAATAGGCACTGTCCACCTTTACCTCCACCCCCACCCCCGCCAGGCACGTACCACAGGCGCTTCAGGTGGCGCTATCCGGAGCCCCTGGGACAGGATCCCAGCAAAGTTGGTGGTCCTGGACCCATGCCATAGCAGTCTTCGGTTATGCAGCTGCTTGAAGGGCTTGTAGCGTTGGCTCTCCCCTTCACGCTCTATCTTAAAGATCTGGTGGGGACAGTAAATAAAGGAGAGAGCTGAACAAAGCCATTTGGTACTGTGGTTAACAGAAATATCTGACTAGAGGCAGAACTGACCAGCTGTCCCTATAGCTAGAAAACATCAGGTGTGCTGCAGCACGTCATGGCTCGGGCAGGCAGGACAGTGCCATAACTGGCTCAAGATCCCATCCAAACTCATGCTTGCGGAGCAGAAGCACATGGAGGCACTTCATTTTGGATTTCTGATGGTATTTCCCATTCTAAAACAAGGTTTTGGGATAGGAAATGACCTTTAAAAAGCCACCTCCAGAACTGTACAACTACTACTGTTTCTGCTCAACACACCATGAGTCATGTCCTCTGGTTATTTAAAGAAAAGCAAACTGCTCTTTTCTGCCTGGGGTGGAGGAAGGAACAGAGACGCTCACAGGACATGAGGGGCGGGTATCGAAGGGAGAGGGGACACTTACATCAACGACTTCTAGGTCGTATGCGTTGTGCGTGGTCGCATGAGTGTTCTTCACATACTTCCTGATGGTCTCCGCTTCTTCAGAATCTCTGTCTACCACCTAGAAGAAAGGTGTCTGTGAGCCGGGGCAAGGAGACCCCAGGAGAGGCGCACCGAGGGAGCAAAAGGACTGCAGGCTCAGCTAATGCACAGATCAGCACCACAGATCAGTCCCTTAGTGGAAGCCAAGCCAGCCTGAGAGGCCCCGAGACACTTGGTCAGTAGCCCGTTTCCTGGGCACCAGCTTCTTCACCAATTTGGGTTTATGACAGGATCTCATGTTTTTCTTGTCTTTGAATTCTATGCTTTGGCATATCACGAGACCTAGAAAGAGGGGGCTGTGTGTGACAGGGAGCCTCCAGAACACGGAGCTGGCTTCCAGGTAACATTTCAGCCCTCAGGGCAGGAAAGGACCCCCAGCCAAGACCTGTAATTGCAAGTGGCAAGTCCGATAAGTAAGGGTGTTGAGGATGGGAGAGAATGCTTCATCCTTTGGGACCCTTAGGGCCATGCATTGTGGCTCAGAACTTACACTCAACTAAGTGTTAACAGTTAATGTAATCTATTCTGAAAGAACATGAGTGCGTTTATGGGAAAGACTATATTCTCTTGTATTTTTATTTTCTTATCTGAAGTTCACAAAGTAGGACTTCTGGTCTTCTCATAACCTCTTTTTCTTTTTTTAAAGATTTATTTATTGATTTATGGAAGCAATGGGTACAGTCAGAAGCACGGGAGGGTGAGAGAATTCACCAGAGCCAGAGCGGGGAGCAGAGCAGGCAGGAGGACTGAAGTACACTGCTGAGAGGAGCAGCGGGCGGCAGGAGAGGTCTGTGTGCCATGTGGGACCCTCTTCCGGTGGCCAGGGAGCAGCCGGGGATTGAACCCATGCTGCAGAGGCTGCGGGCAGCTTCGCCACCCAGCGCTCAACTGCTGCGCCCCAGGGAGGCCCCTTCTCATAACCGCTTAATAAAAGGTTTCATATTTGTTAACTGACCAGTAAACCACTTCACAAAGAACTGTGCTAACTACATACCCAACAAGATGATTTGGGTTGAGGGGTGTGGGGGCAGGTAAAAGAAGTGACACTGAATTTCTTATCCTGCTTAGACCCACAGGTGCATGCTTTGTTCTGAGCAAGCAAAGGCTTTTTTCCCCTAAGGATGTAAGCACACCACACCAGGGTCACCAGACCCTGTACTCTTAGATCCTGTACACTGCTGGGGAGGATACGAGACTGAAGAAATGAGCCTGGAGGGAAAGTGAGAACAGGCTCCACCTAAGGGCAAGCAAGAGTTGAGGCAAAAATCCTTCCTGGCCCTGGAGGGGTGATTTCTGCCCCAAGATTCCAACATGTGCAAATTCATGGACTATGTGCCAACATTCACTACAGAGAATGCGAACTCGGGTACTGTGTTTCTATCACGTATTCCCGCTTTGGAAATGGGACACCAGTAACAAACCCAGAATTCTTCCCACAAGTCTCCAAAAACAGAGATCCAATCTGCATTAAGGGGAAATAAAACCTTTCTGTAAAACCCCTCAAAGACCTGTTCACACCAAACAGAGGCTCTGGTTTAGAAGCCCACCTTGCAAACAAGGTGCTTATTGACAGGTGAAATGCTCTAAGGTTCTCAAAGGATGACTAATGACACCATCTAGGAACTGTTGGAAAGGCTAACTCCTGGGCCCCTACAATCACTTTATCTCTCTAGGAAATCCTGCCACATGGTCAAGTTTTAGGGCCCCTTGTCCTTGAGATGAATGGTTAGGATGCTGCAGACAGGGCAGACCCTGTTACCTTAATGTCAGTTTTGAGCTTCTCATAGTTGACATCGATGGGGTCCTTGCTGCTGTCATCAGACCCACCCCTGAGCAGGCTGTAGGCCACCTCGATGTCCAGCAAGTTGTCCAGCATTTCCACCTTGGCCTTCAGGAACAAGAGAAAAAGCTGAGCGAGGAACACGGACTTGCTAGTTCGGGGACAGAAAACCTACATGCAGACAACACCCAACTGATCATGAAGGGGGACATCCTACCTGGTTAGGGAAAGCCTGTCACTGCCATTCACAGTGAGCAATCCCAAGGATTTCCAGGAATGCTAAGGAGGCCAAGGAGGCATGGCCATGCTAAGAGCTCTCTCCTCTTGTACAGACAAAACAGGCAGAGACCTATCATTGGCCTCTTAATGAGTTGGGGAGGATGAGCAGGGAGGAAAATGCTCTCCCTTTCTGATGACTCTTCTTTCCAGACTAAAGTGGTAGCACAAGAACAGGAAGTCACATTTTATGTCCTGTAGTCAGAAACCCCGCTTCAAAATGAGGGCCCACAGGCAGTTTTCCCAGCACTGGCTCCTGCCCTTATGGATCAAGATTGGTATCTAAGGAACCAAGGAGTAACATCCAGACCCTTGGCTCCCTCCCCAAACTGTACTACCTGCACACTGTCTGTGTTGTTCAGGAGTGGAGGCTTCTTCATCCCAAAGTCGTGGGGGATCAGGGTGTAGAAGCGATTGGAGAGATCCAGGATCTGGGAGTCGCTGCTGCCCTGGGACACTGCCTATAGGGGAGGGGCCAGAAGGAACAAGGACTGAGGCAGCAGCTCCCGATCCCCAGCATGTGGCTAGGCCTTCTCCCCGGAAGGTGGGCACCACAGTGGAGGTCAGAAGTAGTTTGGTGTGTACCAGAGTCAGGAAACGGGAATTCTCAGAGCACCATCCTGTGGGTGTCACACCGGTGAATTGGTTGTCTAGGGAGTTACAGCTGCATAACCAAGCTAGCCCCCACCACCATGCAAAATGTCGTTATAGAATCTATGTGGCAGGTTTATGTTGCTGTGAAATTTTTACAATTTTTTGAATGTTCAAATACTTTTCATAACAAAATGCTTAAGGGGAAAAAACCCCATTGTGTGCAATTTCAGCAATTACCCGACCCCCTCCCCCATCTTTAATGCAGAGAATTCCTTTTTCTTGCACCTGGAGGTCCAGGCAGCCAGGTACAGAAAGGCTAAGGCCCCTGACTACCACAATGCCAATTAGTGCTCTAAACACAAAAAGTACACAATAAATACACGAAGGGAGGGAAGACTGGAACCAGTAGGATATGGCACCCTTGGCAAACATTCTGGGTGCCTCCAGGGGTAAAGGGCAATGAGGTGGCACCCTGCACGTCCAAAGCACCACAAATGCTGCTCGTGGCAACTCAGGCTTGTCTAAGGGGCACTGTGCTGCAGATTGCCCTGTGCACGGGGTGAAGACACCAACCCAGCCCTTCCCAGGGGTGCCGGCACAGGAGAAAGCTCAAGCCTGGGGAAAAAGCCTTTTAAGACTCATCAGTGGATAATAAGGAAGAGGTTCTGTCAGGCACAGCTGTAACTGGACTTCACAGCTAGGTTTCAGGGCCTCTTCTCCAGCACCAGACAGAAAGTGCACTTTCTTGGTCCCACTTCAGCTTTCTGTGTCCTGTCTTTTTTACAAGCAAGCCTATACCTGCATTCACCCTCAGATACAAGTGGAAGCTCCAGGGCACAGCCTAAAGGCTCTGGGGCTTGGGGGAACATTGATAAATGTTCAGGGTAAGTAGATGTTGAATGAACAAGAATGAAAGCAAGAACATATTTACAGTATTCTACTTGATGATTTTCTCCTAACTGAAAAATAAACTCAGTCTTTTAAAGATACGCAAAATAAAATCAACACATTTGTGAAGTAAGAGAACCAAACTCTTGATCTTGATCCTATCTAATTACTGAAAACACTGGCGACCTTTTAAGAGACGGCACACTCGGCATATTTGTTGAATTGGAAAAAAATCTAAATCAACATAAATGTGGCTCACTAGGTCCATTTCATTAAGCGTCAGTGAATGGTACCCCTCAGGGGAGGCTGGCCCAGAAGACCCACGAGATAGTGGGAAGTGGGGTTTGGCTGCTTGCTTACCTGCTGAACCTCACTAAGGATGGAGTACGCAGCCTGGATCTGCCGTTTGCTCAGTTTCCCCAAGGGCATTTTCTGAAGGTCAATCTGAGGAGACAGGAGAGGGTTTTGCCTTTGAAAGCCTAGCACAGCACACTGAGAACCCTGTGACCCAATTCCATGGAGTACACAGCCCAACCTCCAATGTGGGGGACAAGAGTCTGTATGTATTGGAGAAGCTTCTTGTTCACTTCATTTATGTCAATCTCAGCTTGCTACACGGTTTTGAAACTACACTTAGTTTCAAATAGCCCAGACCTTCTAAAGAAGATACAGAGTGATGCTGGCCAGCCTAGGTCTCAGAGCCAAGGTAGTTCTCAGTCAGAAAACAAAACCATGATGTGGTGAAAATGATTTCCCTAAGGACACATTACCCAACAAGTGTATTTACATCAAGTCAATAGTGTCTCTTTCAAATCAGTCACCCCAAAAGGTGAAGCATTTGTTCTCACAATGCTGCTTCTGTGCACCACACCTTGGGAACTATCATCAAGAGAGCCGGCAAGACAGAGTGGAAAGCATGAGATGTGCGGCCAGAATGCCTGGTCATCAGTCAGCTTGTAAGAAACCCGCTCTCAGTATATTCTGCATCTGCGAAATGGGGCTACTTTCCTCAAAAGGCACCCATTTCTTTAGTGAGTGACCTGGCCTTTGTTCCTTGCTTGCCCCCCCACCCACATCTGTGCACCACTAGACCCCTATCTTCTGTATCCTGAGACACTGTCTCCAGCATGATTCCTCAGACCCTTCTGAGCATCCGGGAGCCAGAAACTGTACCCTGCCACTCACTCACCTCCAGCACCTCCAGTGCCTGTAACAAAGATGGAGCTAAACGACCATTTCAGAAACAGAACTGCTATGGCAATTCAATTACAGAATGTGAAAGTGCTCACAGTTCACCAGAACAGCAGTGAGTATGTACAGTAATGTCCCATATCTATGGGGGCCACCTCCAAGGCCCCCAGAGGACACCTCAACCTTGGATCTGGTATAACCATGTTTTCCCCTATAAGTACACACCTATGACAGACAGTTGAGGGGTTAATAATAAAATAGAACAATTCTAACAATACATTTTAATAAGTTAATAAGGTTCCTCTCCAAAAACCTTATTGTACACAATATTATCAGGGTAACAAACCACAGATAAGGAGGGGCATGGCACACACATTTCTCTGTACCCTTACTGGAAACTCCCTATCCTGAGGGTCACTCCAGTTCCTGGGGAGAGTTAAACAGTTGGTGATTAATCTGGGGTAGAAGATGGATAATTTATTTTAAGCCAAGAACAAGGTACAGTGAATGACTTTCAAATGGATTATAAACTGGCTCTGAAAGCATTTTTTTTAAAAAGATTTATTTATTTATTTATGCATAGACAAACTGGGGTGCAGGCTGGAGGTGCAGGGGGTGAGAGGATTCACCAGAGACAGAATGGGGAGCAGAAAAGAAATACACTGCTGAGGAGAGAGCAGTGGGTGAGATAGTAGAGGTCTGCTACACCACATGTGGGTTAGCTCCCTGGCTGGGGATCAAACTCAGGCAACAGTGATAGTGCTGAGACTTAATCCCTACACCACCTTAAGGCAATCCTTAGGAAAGAACTCTGAGAGATGTTCTGATCAAGGGCAGTGTGACCAGAACGAGGGCAGATATTCCGAGGGGGCCAACTATCCCTAAGCTGTGTCATTTTGCAGTCTGGAGTTTTAAAAAGATCTGGTTTCCTTACCCTAGAGCCCTCAAAATGCACACATAGGCCATAACAAAAGGGCTCAGTCAACACAAGTGACCCCATTCCCAGACTGTTGGCTGGAGGCAGCAACTCCACAGCAGCTCAGTTCAGGAAGGAAGTAAAAAAGTGGGCGAGACTTCTTGGGGTCAAGGAGGCACAGCTGCAGCAGAGGCAGCTTCTAGGACATAATACCATTTGACTCACACAGCATTCCCGTACTCCCTTGTATCTGAAGGAACAAGACCCCACTTCTCTCTCAACCCAAGAATTACCTGGCTCACAGGGAGTCAGGTTCACCTGCTGGGTATGTAGCTCCATGTTTACCATCCACCTGGTGGTCCAGCTAACATGTAACCCACCATGCCAGGGGTGGGCACCCCACTACCCACTAGCTGCCCACCAGCCTATTCCAGCAGCAGAGCCCCTGCCCCTTTTTCCCTGCTAAATTAGCTACCTATTCAAGTGAAAAACAACATAAAAATGTCATTTTACAGGAAGAGACTTGGGTCTGATAATAGCTGAGAAATTCTATGAATCGCAGATAAACCAGAAATGGTGTGGGTTTTTTTTTTTTTTTTTAAAAAAGATGAATGATACAGAAGAAGCTCTTGCCCCCAGCACATTTCTCTCCCTTCTTCATGCACCCACATTCTTTGTGAGTTCATCTGCAACTGTTCAAACTAGTCAGCCATACAAGACAGATCCCAGGTTACGTATCTACGTGAAAAGAAGAATGAATAAGCCTTGGTAGGTTTCAAAGCCAATAATGGACACCAAGGATGTAACTCAACATCTGTTTAATAGATTGAGCTGTGATCTGTCCTATCCTACCAGGTTGAGCTCTAGACAGGGCAATGTGGGGGTGAGGATGAAGAGGCTACAATGGTCGCACCAACCAAATCTGTCCCTACTCCCCCACTCCTTCGAGGGTGGCTGCTAGCCTCTATGAGGGACCTGGGGAGAAACAAAGGGAGCAAGCCGCAGAGAACAGGTGGAAAGGCCAAGTCTGATGTGCAATTCTTGCCTTCTTTACTGGCCCCTTCTTCAAAATAGTTGGAAGCTTCTGGGTTCAGGGGCTGGGGAAGAAGAGTTCTGTGTGGTGTGCTTGCCTGCCAGAGACCAAAGCGTCTGGACCACCTTTCTGAAGGTGCCCAGGGCTAGCACTGAAGCGCTCTGGAAGCAGGACAGCAAAAACAAGGCCCTTCTACAAGCATCCGCTGGGGGAGGAGAGCAGAAGGGAGAACAGGGAGCACCTACACAGGAACATGATTAGTCCAACCACCAGTGCTCCTGCCCACACAGCCTCTTAGGAAGTTAGAATGAATGTCATCTGAAGCAGCAAGCACATTAGCACGTCTTTCACTCTAAGTGAGGCTCTGTCCACGATTCCCCAACTCCCATCAGTTGATTTGGTTTGGCCACAGAAAAACTATGCCTATATATCCCATCATGGAGGAGAACGTGCAAGAGAAGCAGGGCCCAGGGGACTCAGGTGCCAGCTCTCAACAGTACTGTGCACCTCACAGCAGGTATAATGACCCCTATGAAAGCATGCACTTTGTCTCAGCATTCCCACAACCTGGCTCCGGCTGAAGGACCCATCAGAGGACCCAACAGCCAGCAGGAACAGCCAGAGTTCATTACCAATTCAGCATTCAAAACATCAAGCTCAGTAAATGCTCATAGATAAAACAATGAAGTGCAATAACCTCATACTCCACCATGGCTTTCTTCATACTTTCCACATCAAAGATCATCTTAATGAGTTCCTGCACTGGCTTAGGGAGCTTGGACTTGGTGCCGGGGTTTACCGTCAGTTTCTTCACAGCTTCTTCATCCTTTAGGGAAAAAAAAAAATTGTTGAGACTCAAACAAAGCAGGCCAAGTAGTGGTGAGTCCTGGATACGGGATGGAGAGCCACTAGCAAAAAAGGATGAGCATTATTCAAAAAGTTTTAGGCAGCAGTTGCCAGGAAGAGCATGTGCGTTTCTACGGGAGCGAGACATCTCATGTGAGCCCAACTCCTTCCAGCTGCTCCAGACTCTTACTCCAGTTGCAAGCAGCTAGAACTCATTGCAAAACTCAGCTTACAAGGGTTGACTGGCAGGCACTCATACTCTCCTCGTGTTCTCATCCCCTTCTACCCTGGGAACCTGTTCAGTGCCCACTCAAGCCCAATCTGTAAGTGCTGGGCAGCTATGAGGGCAAATCTTTGACCAAAGGGACACTGAGCTAATGGACAAATTCACCCTGTCTCTTACTGCCTCACCCTAGGGTCAGCTGTAAGACCAAGTGGATAAAGCCTTCTTTATAGTCCCACTGCTGCCAGGCAGCTTGACAGCCTTAAACTGCATCCTAACACACATCCTTTCCCCTCCCCCCACCTTGGTAACTGCAGTCTATCCTGCTACATAGACAATCCAGGCCAAATTAAGACCACTATGTACTGAAAATGCTATTTAGATTTGAACCCCATGAGGACAGGGACTGCAACCTGTCCATCAGTGTTCCCAGCAACTAACAGTGTTTGGAATTTGTTTTGAGTGAGAACTCATGACACACTATAAACTAGAAAATCTCTTTGAGACATGCTAATTAAAATCTGTACGGATTTATAAATCTCTCCTTTTGCAAAAATAAATGTATATATTTATACATAAACAGATTTTCATATTAAAAAAGGTAAGCATTTTGCTCAAAAAATGGCCACAAAAATATCATTCAAGAGACAACTCAAGACTGTCTAGTAACATATGTGGGGAGATGGTCACACTACAAATATAAGTAACACGGGTATCAGGGAATTATTAGGAAAAGTTCAGGACTAAAAACTGACCTAGCAGAGCATGTCAAATCACTATAATTCTATCCTGATGATAAACCAAATGGCATGATCTAGGCTCAGATTAAAAGTCTAATTAGTGGGCCTCCCCGGTGGCGCAGCGGTTGAGCGCTGGGTTGTGAACCTGCCCGCAGCCTCTGCGACGCCGGTTCGATCCCCGGCTGCTCCCCGGCCACCGGAGGAGGGTCCCGCATGGCGCACAGACCTCTCCTGCCGCCCGCTGCTCCCCTCAGCAGTGTACTTCGGTCCTTCTGCCTGCTCTGCTCCCCGCTCTGGCTCTGGTGAATTCTCTCACCCTCCCGCGCTTCTGACTGTACCCAGTGCTTGTATAAACAAACAAACAAACAAACAAATAAATAAATAAACAAGCCTCTATTAAAAAAAAAAAGTCTAATTAGTAATCTATGAATTACCCCTGTTGTGTTTCGAGAGCAACTTCAGAGACTGCTCCTCCCTGAGGGTCTTAAAGATGCTGACAGTGTTCTCATATCGGGACCATGGTGTAGATTTTATGCATGAAAGAGTATTGGATTTTATTTAATGCTTTTCTGTATCTATTAAGATAATCACATGGCTCCCAAGATGACCACATGGTTTTTATCTTTTATTCCATTCATGTTATAATCCACTGATTGATTTTCTGTATGTTGAGCCAATCTTACATTCCTGGGATAAATCCCACTTGGTCAGGGCATATAAATCCCAATAGACTGCTGAATTTAGCTTGTTAGTATTTTGTTGAGGATTTCATATTTACATTCATAGTCTACTGGTCTATCGCTTTCTTGTGATGTCTTTGTCCAGTTTTGGTATCAGGGTAATAATGGCTTCATAGTGAGTTTAGTAAGTATTCCCTACTCTTACTTTTTGAGAAGAGTTTGTGAAGGACTAATATTAAGTCTTCTTTGGGCATATGGTAGCATTCACCAGTGATACCATCTGATCCATGGTATGTTTTTTTAAAGAATGTGGTATCCTTCCTTCTACTAGGATTAAATAGTGTTAAGAGCATTAAGTGATTACCTGGCCATAGTCAATTTCCAGAGGGTAGAACTTTTTGGGATACTTTGTGAAGTTTTTGGAGTGCCAGGCATTCCCGGTTTTCTCTTCATATAATTTCATAAAGTGCTCAATGGCATCCTCCTTGGATGGCATCTGCTCCAGTTTGTTACTGCCAATCACAGTGCCCACGCGGCCCCAGGACCTGAATATCCAATACCTGTGGCAGGAGAGGACGAGGATCAGATACAAGTTTGTGGGTTGCCTGGTTCACACTTCATGATGAATTTCCCTTCCCTGCCAGTCTAGTTGGGTGAGCAAGAAAGTCAAACACCCCAAACCAATGGATTGACACAGAGGAACATCAGGAACTGATACCACAATCAAGTACCTTTATTTTACCTTTTATTAATGTAAAGGTTAAGAAGTTTGAGTAATTAAAGAATGCCCCTTCAAATATCGGTAAATGGACTAGAAAAAGTGCCAAAGAACAGGATTGGCAGCCAAGTTTACGGAACAAATCCTGTGAACTATAGATCTTGATTTCTCCACAATAAATACAGCGAGTACAATTTGAGAATCAAGTGCTCAGGGTGATGCAAACGCTAATGATGTACCCAGAAACCAAAGAAAAAGTTCTGGCTCAAACCAGAGGCTGAGGCAACAAAATAGGAGGGGTTGGGACACTGGCATGCAGGGTGAGCTACCTACAGAAACAGGTGACCATTTTCGGTTTTCATGTCAATCTAGGGCACAAGTCACATCCACTTCCAGGTGCTTTGCTGCTTAGCTTTGGGTGAGTTAACTTTTCTTAATGCAAATAACATGACTTTAATTGTACACCAGAATATAGATCTAATGGGAACCCGAACACAAACCCAATTTTATATGCATCATAAAGATTAAAACCAGGGAATTTAAGGAAAAGCCTCTACTGTAGATGTCTACAAAAACTCCATTCCTTCTCCTTCACTGAGATATAGATCTAGTTTTTGGAAGGTATGCTTTAAAATCAAGAAGCCATTTTTCTTGTCTTTCAAATCTGACAAGAATCGGAAACAAATTCAATAACAGAGGGTCCATTTCTTCAGCTATGTTAAGTAGCCAGTAAGACTCCTTTTAGAGCACCCCTGATGCTCATTTTAAATCAAAGAATTGGATAAAAGCTAAAGAAATAGAAAAAACCTGAGTCATCTCAGTGCTTATAAATGGAGGGTAGCCAGGATTTATTAGGTGCTGATTATCAGTTTGCTTCTTAACTTATAAAGCGTTTTAGATTTCCTATGCGATGATTAAACTGTCTTCATTTGCTTATAAATTAAGTCATTTAACACATAACAGTAATTACGAAAATGTCCCACACCTTTTAACATAAGTTGACTCTAATGCAGGACAATTAACTCAGTGATGAGGAACGACCCCAGCTAGAAAGGTGTGGAGGAGGCCTCCCTGATGGCCTAGGGGTTAAGTCTCAGCGCTATCACCACTAAAACCTGAGTTAGATCCCCGGCCAGGGAGCTAATCCACATGTGGCACAACTGACTTCTCCTGGCTTGCCTGCTGCTCCCCTGAGTAGTGTATTTTAGTCAGTCCACCTGTCCTGCTCCCTACTCTGTCTCTGTCAAATCCTCTCACCCCCTTGTACCTCTGGCCTACAACCCAGTTCTACAAAAGATAAAAGGGAAAAAAAAAATATATATATATATATATTAAAAAAAAGGTATGGGTGGCAAAAGCCAGCCCAACCCCTTAGTACCTCAATAGCAGCTCTGGCTTATCTCCACCATGCTTAAAGGAGGGCAGATCCAAACATCTTTAGTAATTAAGCGTGTTTGCGATAACATTAAAATATTCAGTTTTTGCCAAACTTTACTTTGCTTCACAAGTTCTAAAATTTAAAATCAAGGCTTATCAGAAAGCCTTGATTTTTCGAACAGTTACAAGAAAGCAAGCCCACAGATGACACGACTGCCCAGCCAGAAAGGCTATGTGGTGGAGATGGCTTCCTGCCATTCACTACAGGCCTCTCAATACACAGTGGGCTTTTAGAGGAAAGAGAATCCCCACGTGCCAGGGAAACTTGAATCTTATGCCACTGAGAGCACAGCACTGACAGGCATACCCCTTCACGGGGCATTCCAGGCCTGGACATTCTTGTTCCCAGAACACACCTGCTCTCCTTGTCATCCTCCAGGAGCTGCAGCTTGTAGTAGGAATTGGTTCCTTTAACAATGTCCACCAGGCCGAGGGTGGCGCTGAACACCTTCCCACCTTTCTCCAGGACGTGTGCAGAGGTTTCCAGACCTGTCACAGAGGCAAAGCCCCTATAGTTTCCTCTCCCAGAGGGGCTGGTGTATTCCAAAAGCAGCAGTTTGCAGGCTCAGGGCCTATAGCTGCTTGGGTACACTAACACCACTTCAAGAGTTTCCCCATAAGGTGAGTGCTCTCAGGATTGGGGGTAGGGAGGAAATTGTTGGGAGCCTGCAAGGATGTTTGCGGGCAAAGGTGTGGCCCACTCTTTTCACATTCCTGTCTGCTTACCAGAATCTGGATCAACAGCTGCTCCTCCTTTAAGAGTTAATTTCATTCTTTTTTCAGATTTGTTGATTCCTTGAAAGGTGAAGAAGTAAACAGGAAATCAAAAATAAATTAAAAAGGGAAGAGGCCTTGCTGGTGGCCTAGGGGTTAAGTCTTATGACTGTCACTGCTAAGTTGGCCTGAGTTTGATCCTGGCCAGGAAGGTGACCCACATGAAGCAGCAGACCTCTCCTGTCTCAACCGCTGCTCCCCTCAGCAGCGTATTTCAGCAGATCCACCTGGTCTGCTCCCCACTCTATCTGGTGAATCCTCTCACCACCTGGCACCTCAGGCCTAGACCACAGTTCTTGTATGCATAAATAAATACATAAATCTTAAAAAAAAAAAAAACCCCAGTAAGTGAAGGCAAGTGAGTCATATTCACTCACGGCATATGCCAACATGCCATCTGTGTATTGCTTCCCTTCACCCCAAAGTCCCTATCAGTTTGAGCCCAGGGAAAAGAGAATTAAGGAAACTGGTCTAGGCAGCACCCAGAGACCACTACAGGGGCACAAAAGCAGAAGCTGCACTGGCGGACATGCAGGCCTGGGACCAATGGCAGGATGCAGCCACCTGCTTCTCTGGCTTCTGGCCCTCCGTGATGGTCATCTCGGGCCTCACCTTCCTCCTTGACAGGGCCCTTGCTCTTCTTGGAGAGTGCACCCCCTGACTTCCCTTTTGGGGCCATTACTTCAACAGGTTCAGCCTTCACCTCAGCACCCCAGGGGGCTAAGATGTGGGCTGAGAGCAACTCCTGAAGGCTCTTGGTGGAGGCGGTGACATCCTGGAGGAAATCCTCAGACACAACACGAATGTTGGCTTCCTTCACCTCCTCCATCTTCTTATTCATCTTTTCTACTTCCTCTGTTTCAATTAGAAGGGGAAAAAAGGTAAACAGTAAGTTCAAAACTGAACTAAATCTCAAATCTCTAGAGTCACTATGACTTTCAGCCCTTGCCATCCACACAGCTCCTTTCCTTCCAAACCTAGTGCTTAGTTCCTGGGCCTTTTTCCACTTTAGCAACTGTCTTTTACCAGCAACTCCCTTTCCTTGAGGGTATGATGAGTTAGGGCTGCTGACTATAAACCTTTTACAGAGCGAGATGTTAGCAGTCATTCCACAGGAAAATGACCCTAACATACATATAAAAAATGCCATGTATTATTTCTCTGGTCTTGAGGACTTACAATGGTAATTGGCATAATAAAGCTTCAAAGAAACCGGTTTACCTTAGTTTAACTTTGCATTTTCCAAACGTATTTAAGCTATGAATTTCCGTTTTAGCAGCAAACCTACCCCGTCTTATGGAGGAGTGTTAGCGAAGAGAATAGCAGCCTACAGCCTTTAGCTGGGAATAGAAAACTATGTGAAGAGATAAAACACAGAACAACACAACGTCCAAACACTGGCTTCCTACATAAAGACCACAGACAATGATGCTGATAAGATACACTGTGTCAGGCACTGCTCTGCACACTTCATCTCATTTACCCATGACATGCTTTTTAGATTTCCTACGTAATGATTACATTGTCTTCATTTGCCTAAAAAATGAAGACCGCATAATCTCCATTTTTACAAGACAAAACTCACTTTTCGTACTGATGCACAGGGAAGCCTTGTTGGCCGTCCCTGTCAACTTCCCCCCGAGTTTCTCGATAGTGGCTTTCACTTCATCCTTGTTCTGGGAGAGTTTCCCAAGAGTCAGGATCTTCATGTTGGCTAAGGGCTTATCTGTTATAGGAGAACAGAATCATTAGGCATAGTTGCTCCCCAGGAAGAGGGCAGTGTAGGAAAACAAAGTAGCAAATTCCCAGGGAAAGGCTAGGACCACCTGCAGCAACCTGGAGGGCCTCTAAGCACCCACTTTTTGATGAGCTTCTTCCTAGAGAATGGCCTATGCAAACAGAAAGGCTACTGGCAAAGCAGAGGACAGGCCAGCAAGCTGCCACTGTTGAGCCTACATGCATCCACTGGCACAGAAAAGGCCAGGTGGGAGCTGTTAGGAAGTGACGCTGTCCCACAAACAGGCTGTGACCCAGGGTGGACGGGCATGCTGTGAGACCAGGAAGGCTGCTCTTGGGGACAAAGGACCAACAGTGGGTGGGCAGCAGAAAGGCAGGCTGTGTAAATTCCCTATTCTCTCTATTCATGTCAACAAGCAAAATGCAATTCTTAAGTAATACAAATTAACTATTTAAAAAATTCAACTTGTCCGTTAGTCACTCAGAGCTTTGGTCAGCACAACTGCACTGAGAACCCTGGTGTCCAGCATTGGTCCCAGGCCAGAAAGCCCCAGGACAGGAGTGTGCCTTATATTTACTGCAAATGGTAATACATTTCTAGAATCAGAAATGCCTTTGAAGTCCTTCAAGGTATTTGAAGGACTGTGAAGGACACCACTGGCATTTAACTGAAGAATGGCTGTGGAGATGGGGACATAATCATTTGTGTGAATTACAAGCGAGGGACCCCTCAGAGCGGAGGCCAAAGTACTTGCCTGGCCAACCACACATGCACCTAGATCCAGGTGACAAGCAGAAGAGTAAACTCAGGATGACCACACAACGCCCCCTCCCCAGGGGAAGGAAGGAGTGCACATCAGGGCCAAACCCTTGTTTGACTTAACTATTAGACTGAACTGTGGCTTAACCATTAGACTACACCAAGTGTCTAAGTGAACAAAGGCAGAGGATCTCTCCTGCCAGCAAAACCCAGAGACCTCATCTCTGTTGGCATGAAAAACTTTCTACTAACATTCATCAGTAACTCCCTTTGTCAGACAATATATACAGCAGGTCCCTATGCAATAGAGACCCAAGCCTCAATCAACTCTGGGTACAGAGCTGTACCTGGAAGCTGGCAGGTGAGTCCTGGAGGGAGATCTACAATGCTTCTCTTTAACGCATTTAGGCAGGTATTAAAAATGCTACTCTGGGTAAGGTTGCCCACATGGCCTATTAGAAGCCCCCCACCCTCATCTTCCTCCTCCTGCTCTGTGTGTGTGTGTGTGTATCTGGGGAGTTGTGGTGATGGTGGTGGGGCGGGGGGAGCAGAGGGCAGGACCAAGGTTTTCCTGAAGGTCTGTAAGAGAACCCAGAAGAAAAATATCTTTGCAAGATTGGGGATCCCAGCCTATCCTGCCCAAGGTTTGCCCCAGAGCTGTACCTGGAGGAGCAGAGGAGTTCACAGCAGTGGGTGCTGAGACTGTGGAGGGTGGGGGCACCGCTGCCAATGGAACACTGGTCTCTGGGGGGAATATTCGATCCTGCTTTTTGATCTTTAATTTCTTGAGGTAAGAGATTTCTCGGAATTCCTAAAGAATTAAAAGAGTTTTAGTTAAGAAACCAGTTCTCTCTTAACTATCTGGTAGAGCAAAGGGGATTTGGCTTATCCAAATTAATGAATCTCCTTTTTTCTTCTTTCAATAAATAAACATAAAATAGGACATTGTGTGTCTTCTAGTATGAAACTCAGGATTACGGAAAATCAGTACTTAGTTCCTCCTCCAGCCTCCAGGCCTCAACACTCAACAAGTCCCTCTGGGGTCACACATCTACCCCATGACCAAAAGCCCCCCACACTGTACACATGCTGGGTAAGGGACTATTACCCTAAAGGAAATCAGGGTAATTCCCTTCTCTGTAATCTTCACAGTTCATCTTCATCCTGGTGACTTACAGTGGGTCTTGTTCTAAGCAGTCACTTGATAAACAGCAAAGACCTGAACTCAGGGGACTATCACAGTTCTATGTTCCTAACGCTTCATCCAATAAAGAGCCTTTTTCTACTATTCCAATGTTCAGTGAATACCAGTTAGACAAAAGAGGAACAGGCTATGTGAAAGCAGAAGGTTCCTATTTTGGTATGACTGGTGGGTTATTTTGGGTCTGGGGAACATTATCACCATTGCTTTTTTAAAATTTTTTTTTTATTTTTAAGATTTATTTTTATTATTTTTTAAAGATTTATTTATCTTTATACAAGAATTGGGGTACAGGCCAGAGATGCAGGGGGTGAAAGGATTCACCAGAGACAGAGTGGGGAACAGAACAGGCAGACGGACCGTAGTACACTGCTGAGGGGAGCAGCGGGCAAGACAGGAGAGGTCTGTCCCACCGTGTGGATTTCTCCCTGGCCGGCCGGGAATCGAACTCGTGTTGCAGTGGCTGTGGACTGCTTCATAGGCTGCGTCTTAATCCCTGTGCCACCAGGGAGGCCTAGATTTGTTTATTTTTATACAAGAGCTGGGGTACAGGCCAGAGGCGCGGGAGGGTGAGAGGATTCACCAGAGACAGAGTGGGAAGCAGAACAGGCAGCCAACTGAAATACACCGCTGAGGGGAGAAGCAGGCGTGACAGGAGAGGTGTGCTGCGCCACGTGGGAATCTCCCTGGCTGGTGTGGAATCAAACCTGTGCTGCAGAGGATGCGGACAGCTTCAAAGCGCTATGCTCAACCCACTGTGCCACAGAGGAGGTCTGTCACCATTAATTTTGGAAAAAATTTTGAGCATTCTCAGATGCCAAAAGTATCGTTTCCAACATGTACAGAGCACCAACAAGTGTCACATTATCAGAGTGAGGTTAGAAAGACAGTTTCTGACCTTGAGAAAGCACAGCCTTTTGAGTCAGATATATGAGGCCAAACTTGAATGCAGGAGTTAAGTTCTAAACCTGAGGTGTGCTAAGTGATGTAAGACTGGGAAGGCTGGGTAGGCTCCTTAGAGGCAGTGACCTGCTAACCCAACCAGGAGCTAAAAAAGCAAGTAAAGGCATTTGTCTAACACATCACAATACACAGGGAACCCCAGGTGGTAGCAGCCAGCTGCTGGAAGTATGAAGAATTAAGAGGCAGGATGGGGTGTGGGGTGGTTAAGTACTGAGAATTATACTAGAGAAGAACCAGGTGGCAGGAAGAGAGGCTGCAGAGCAAAATTACAGATGGTGTGGGGCCAAGTCAAGGATTTGACCTTGAATCTAGGCCTAGTCCAGGGGCCAACAGAAACAGTGAATGAGGCATGTGTTTCTGTGATGTCATGTGGAGAGCATGCACTCTCAATCTGAAAAAGTGTCCGGCATATGCAGGAACCATTTTTTTTTAAAGATTTATTTTTATTTACTTATGCTTATAAGAATCAGGGTATAGGCCAGAGGTACGGGGGTGAGAGGATTCATCAGAGACAGAGTGGGGAGCAGAACAGATGGATTTACTGAAATACACTGCTGAGGGAACAGTGGGCAAGACAGAAGAGGTCTGCTGTGCTGTGTAGGTTATACCCCTGGCAGGGGATGGAACTTGTGCCACAGTGGGTGGTGATAGCTGGATTGTGCTGAGACTTTAACCCCTGCACCACCAGGAAGGCCAGTATGCAGGAACCTTTTGAGAAATAACCATTTATAAATATATAGATTACGTAAAAATGGAAAGAAGAAAAAAACACAAACGATAAAATGGTGCTGTATAACTGATATGTAGAATAGTTTGTATTCTTTATTATCTTACTGTTTTCTCAAAGAGAATAAAAAGGATTCAAATACCATAAAAAATCTGCAACATTTGCAAACTCAAAAAAAGGTGGGAATTATTTCTATAGGAATGGGGAGTCACTAAGTTTTTAAGAGGAGAGGAATGACAACGTCAGATTTGTTTGAGTCAATACTCAAGAAGTATAGGGGAAAGACTGGGAAGGAGGGAATGTGATGTTAATGAAGAGAGAAGCAAGACATCAACAAGCACAAGAGGGCCAGGGGGAAAATTTGTCCAGTCTTAGATATTTAGAGTTCATGAGTCCATGGGACGCTAGGGTGACAATTACAGAGCACTTACTTGAGTGTCACTGTTCCAAATGCTTACTCCCAACCCCAAAGCATATTGAATAGGAATTTGAGGATGAAGATCAAATCCCAAATCCCAGCGAGTGGAGGACCTACAATGTACCCCAGTAGTCGGATGTCAGATCATTTGAGTCTGGGGGAACAGGGTGAGTCCTTCCATAAATAAGACTACCCCAAAATCCACTGCCAGCAAGGCTCCAAATGAGGTTGCCCAATTGAATTGAGGTTTTTCTTTTTACATTCTAGGAATTCAGTATGTAGTTCCATTGGGGGGGAAAGAAAAAAGACCAATTATAGGAGATACTTGAAATCTGGACCCTACTCCTCTAGCACCACTAAGGGAAGGAAATAACCTTAAGAAGAAGGCTATCACAAAGGCAAGATTTATCACCCATTTGTTCACCACCATGTCCCTATATACCCACAACAGCTCCTGGCAAAGATGCGGTGCACAACAAACAGAAATAAAATGAAAATATTCATGTTCTTTGCAAGCAAGAGTATTTTACACCAAGTGGATAAACCTGTACTCCAAGTAAAGGTGCTTTGGTTCTAAATTTGTGTACTTTGCAAATATATGGAACCATTAAGATAATTTTGTATTTTGGTTATGAGGATTTCTTGTCTGAGGAACACTACACTGCAGTAATGGAGTGTGGACAAGCCCAGAAGGTGGACCATGTTTTTCTGTCGACAGATCCCAGAATGAATCCTCCCCCCACCATCCCACCACTTACCTTTGGGGTCACCCATTCCTTCCGGTTGGGTGTCTGTGTCTTTACCATACATTTGGTCCAGGCAGTGACATCCCCGGTACAATAATAAGCATCACTCTTGAAGACAAGCTGGCCTGAGCACTCCTCGCAGGGGAGGAGGGCACCAAACACCATGCCATCAGCCACTCGGTCCAAAATCTGAATCCAGTGAAGAAAGACATCAGAGAGGAAAAGGGCAGCTACTGAAGAGGACAATTTCGAATGTGGGGTAAAGAATTTGACCAGACTTTAATCACTCTGAATGCTCACCTTGATGAGCTGTAGCACCCACCCCAGAAGCTGGTTTACATCTGGGGTTGGGTTTTTGTATTCCAGGAGACACTTCTATGCGTGAAATGTTCCTGCCACTTCCCCAAAACTGAGATGCAAAAATAAAGGGAGAGCCCAAAGCATCTAGTACTACTGCACATAGAAGAGAGCGGCAGCAGGGAAGGGTCCGGTTGGAAAATGGGCTTGCCTCCTAAGAGGGCGTCCCCACTCCCCTGCACATCTCAAAGTCCTTGGGGATTTGGGTAGAAGGCAGCAAAGAAGCTCCTTTGGTCAGAGTATGTGATGTGGCATGAAGACATAAGGCAAACGTGGCTCTCCTCAGGCTCACCAAAACCCCCATCATGGGTTTACATGTGGAGCGTCTGGAAGGACCTGAGAGCCTGGCCAGGGAAACTGTGACCACGATGGTGATGAACATGCAGCAGAGCCACCAACTGTCGCTGCTCACAGGCAACACAAGCAGGAATCAGTGGAGGGCCTCCCATACTCCTCTAGGACCATCATGCCACACGACCTGGCCACCCCCCACGTCTCGCTTAACATAGGCAGCTCACCGCAGACTCCCCGGAGGGCACTTGCTGCTTGTTGAAGATGAGGAGCTCTTTCAGGTCATTCGTTGAACACACTTTCTTCAGCTCATCTTTGATGTTCCAGATCAGGTCATTCTGGGCCTACAGACAAGACACAACAGCTCAGGCACCAGCTCCGTTCAAAGATGGAAACCCTAGCAGAGGAAGACTGTACCCTAGTGCTGCTTGGTCTCCAGTCATATCTCTGTGAGCCAGGTGAGCTGCCCCTCTAAAGCTAGTCTCATGAGAGTTCCTGAGGATTTCAAATCAAACCTGATTTCTCAGCAAATACTGGGGGAGGTGGGGAATCCACTCAGGGGAAGGGGGGAATTCAGGCACCAGTCACTGGAACCAATCCCTCAGACACAACTCCCAGGAGACACAGAAAGAGCTCAGAAGCACTCGGTGGATCTCCCTGCCCCCAGCCCAACACCTGGCACCTAAAGGATGCAGGGCAAGCACTGTTCACGCATCTGAAAGCAAGAGTAGGGATGGTTCCCAGCATCTCTGATGTCCTTCATAGTGAATTACAGTTTCACGCAGGGATAGATCTGCACTCTCCTGTAAATGGAATTTTAAATGTCTTTGGTCCTACCTGCACCGTGCCCTTTCCTGGTGCACCTATCATACCCTGATGCTCACCTGGCCAAGGAGGGCATTAGCCTTCCCCACACACTAGGTTAGGAGGCAAATAATTCACATCTCTGCCTCAGATCCCACCTCTGCAGAAGAGGTGAAAATGCAGGGCCCACAGGCCCCTTCTCAGCACCAAATGAGCAGGATTTTAACTGTACCACACATTTGTGGCTGTCTCGTGGGTTCACTGTAAGGGCTCTCTCCCTATCACCCTCTCTGTGAAGCACCATGTGCTGGGTCATGGGTTACAAAGACGAGGGGACAAGAGGACAACTCATGGCACCAGCAGAAAACAGCATGCCAGGGTGGGGAGGCTGGGGGAATTTAAATTTTCTGACTTTCTTTTTGTCTCTTACAGCAGAGAGACAGAACACCAAGCCAACTGAAGGCAAGAGACTAAGTATAAGTAGCACTGCAGGTCTACTGCAGCCAGACTTGGTGTACAACGATGACATTTTTTAAAACTGAAAGACAATCCACCAAATTTGTGATTCTGATCCAAGATCCACCTGGAACCAAATCAGAAATTGCTTCCAATTTTCATACCACAGGCAAAAAGCAAATACTCACATGAAAGAGCCAAGCAGACAGCTCATAGAAATCATGTTCCCAGGAAGAGCCTGACTGTTCTCCTCTAGTTTCCCAAACATCCAGTATTTTCTGGTTAGTGACCACTGAGTCAAATACTAGTTTTCTCCTCTTTTATCACTACATGCCTTCTACTGCTTTTCTTTTCTTTTTCTTTTTTTTAAAAGATTTATTTATTCAAGAACTGGGGTACAGGCCAGAGGTGCGGGAGGGTGAGAGAATTCACTAGAGACAGAGCGGGGAAAAGAACAGGTAGACGGACCGAAAGCACTGTTAAGGGGAGCAGCGGGCAAGACAGGAGAGATCTGCCGTGCCATGTGGGTTTCTCCCCGGTTGGCATTGAACCCATGCTGTAGAGGCTGCGGACAGCCCCACCTTGCTGCACTCAGCCCGCTTTTCTTAATGAGAGCTCTTTGTTACAAAACACGGAATATCTCTACCTCTCCATGCTGAGGACTGCTGGTACACTTTAATTTCATATTCAGTTGACAATGTAGAGGCTGCAGACAGCCCCACCTTGCTGCACTCAGCCCGCTTTTCTTAATGAGAGCTCTTTGTTACAAAACACGGAATATCTCTACCTCTCCATGCTGAGGATTGCTGGTACACTTTAATTTCATATTCAGTTGACAATGTTTATGAAGTGATCTGACACGCCCAGGGTGCAGCAATGTATCCCACGCTGTAGCACAAATCTACCGTCCCACGAGGCAGCGGACAGGTGGCTCGGCTCCTGCCTGCATGGCACACCGAGTGCATGGACTCTTTCAAGCAAGAACTATTTCTTCCAAAGAGGAAAGAAACCAACTAGGGGGAAAAGCCATACTCCGACAACAGCTATCCACCTGGGAATGCTAAAGGACTTGCTAAATGGGACACTTATTTTGAATTTCCTTCTCAGAATGAGGACGAGAAATGAGACAGGATGGTAAATGGACACACACAGTTCAGAACTCACCTTGAGGGCCTTTTCTAGCTTGCTATCCTTGTCCTTTTCTTTTTTAGATTTCTTCTTTGCCACTTCACCTATCCCATCGACCTCGTCACCTTTTCTTTTTCTGACAGAGACACAGAATGGTAAGAGATAAAACTGAAACTCAGTGACTTGGGATGATATGGTATGTTCAAGTTAGTTTTCCTGTCTGCCAGGCCTTGCTCATATTCATCACTCCTACGGGCACCTCCCATTCCACCTGATGCTCTCAGAATACTATCTGCAGTACTCACAACCAACTCCATCCATCATACTCCGCTACCAGGGAGAGGAGCCAGGGCTGTTCCAAGGCCTTACAAGCCAGCATAGGATCCAGGGCTTCAGCCCCATGTGATGTCAGAAACTACATGTATCTCTTGGTGCAAATGAGATATCCTGGCAGGGAATATGCTAAAACTAAGTCATTTTGTGAGGGGCAGGGACTGCAGACAGAAAAAAACCATGAATACCAGGGGCTACGATTTTCAAGTTAAATTACAAGGCCCAGAGGTCATTCTCAGGAGGATCTCACTACCATTTAGAGTGCAAACAAGACTGTGCAGGCACTGGCCAGTTTGCCTCAGTCTGGCAGTAAATATCTTGTAATATCAGCCCTATCTTGTGGGAGGGCACTGAGGGTGCTCAGCAGCCCTTACAAAAAGAGCAGGAAAGACACAGTGGTTAACATTTAGTTTTAACTGTCAGAGACCTGACTTCAAACCCGTATACTCCTCATCAATAGAGGGAAAAAAAGAGTACCATCTACCTAACAGGACCGTAGTGGTGGTGCAATAATATATCCCATATAATGGGCTAGCACAGTCCTAGCACACCGAAGCGCTCAATTTCAGCTGTGACAAAAATGTGGACTTATGCATTCCTACACCTACAGACATGCTGCGCTGCCCGAGGATTTAAATGGATGGGTCTGATTTTCCAGTTTTATTACACATTCCAGGGCCACATCTGCTATGCAATGAAATGGTAGATTTTAACTAACATGTTATGGCTAGTCGATGATGGTGAGGTCAAGGTGCCCACGGCCCTAATTCAGCCCACAGTCACTGTCCAGGGCACACGGTGTGTGCCAAAGCCCTGGCATAACTCCCTTGGTGTGCAGATTACCAACTCTAGAGCCCAGAAACCAGCATCGGGAAAAAGGAAAAGTGCCCACCAACTCAAGATAAGTTACTGAGGGGTCTTCCCATCCTCAATGTCAATACCAGCCAAACTGCAAAATTCTGAGTTCTAAACCAGGGACCTTCTGGACCCACTGATAAATGGTCACAATTCTGCCAGCATCATTCTCAGAGACCCACATGCAGAGGAATGTGTTCACATACAAGGGTGCCTTGGGGATATGAAAATGGGTCATGCAGGGGCCGACTGCAGTGACTGATCCGGGTGAGGGGTAAACTTAAGACAGGGCAGGAAAGTGATCTATATCCAGGGTTAGTATCGTGGGACATGGGACCAGCTGGTTCTGCCTATGCATGGGGAGGAGATAGGAGCTCCCTGCAGGCCCTGCCCTCCTCTCACAGCTGGGGACAAGGCAGAACTGTGCTACCACCAGGCCTGTGTCTGCAGTCCCAGGGTTTCTGACAGTTCACAGGGGATACAGTAGTAATGTGGAATCTGTGGGTCTCAGGGCCTCCATCAAGTCCCTCATGGAACCCCCAACGTGCTTCCATAGTCCTCCACACACCCTTCGCTCTTGACTCCCGGAAGCTGCTTCTTCAAGGTTTCCTTGTCCTCAGGAGTGAGGAGGCTGAAGCCCTTGAGCTGATTTGCGCTGTACTCAGGCCGGAAGCCCAGCTCCTCCCTGTTCTTCACAAAGCAGTCTGGGTGGTACCAACGGTCAATCATGCCTAACTGCGGCTTCTCTGGATCCAACATTTTCTTAGACAGGCGCACCTGGCCCTGTAGGAAAAAACATGTGGTACTGAGACACAAGGCAGGATGGTAAAATATCAGGGCTCAGGGATGGCATGAGCTTAGGGCCCCGAGATCCACACCAAAGGGCATGCAAGGGCTGTGGGAAGTTTTGTGCTGGGACTGTGTGTCAGCATCCCCATTAAGTCAGTCAACTCCAGCTTTACTTACTTACCTGGGCAGGTAAGAAAGTGATAACATTTTCCTGAAAATGTTCTGGCTTAGGAGTAGTCAGAGAACACATAATAGAGTGTGTCAGGGTGGAGCCAGCAGCAACACCTAGGATATTACGCCACAGGCCCAAGAGCCGCAGCAGCCCCCAAGCCAGTAGATTTTCTATAACACCCCTCTCCCCGCCATGGACTCTGTCTCTCTACACACCTGAAGACCCTGCAGAGATGTGGCTGAGCCTGCAGGCTAGAACCCAATCCTGCCATCCTGCCCAGGTTTACAACCTCTAGGCCTGATATTCCTAGGACAGTTTCATACCTGTGAGCCCCAGATCCAGAAAACTCAGCATGAGGGGCACCGACACTATCGAAAACGATCAACTGTACTTAGTGTTCCTGCTAGAACTCTTTCCTCAAATTTTCGGTGTAGGTAGCGGGAGAAGAGCTAGCAACTTAGTATTTTTCCTTCCTAAATATCCACTGGCTCACTTCAATTTCTTATACAACACTCTGAGGAGGCAGAAACCTTCAACCCCTGCCTTAAATAATCAGATGCAGTGTTTATGTAAGATTAGAGAAGAGTGACAAGGCCGGAGGGCACAGGCCTACCACTCCATCCAAGGGTGCACCTCAATTTCCTGTGTAACTCTGGGGAGGTAGAAACCTTCCAGCAAATCCTTAAACTAATCAATCGCAGTGCTTACAGAAGACGAGAGGAGGGCTCCAAGTATGGAGGACACAGCCTGCCCTTCTTCCCACCCATGTCCATGGATGCTCAGAGCACTGTCCATTTTACATGACTGGCTGTCACTCTTCAGGGACTAGAACTATAGGAAAAGCTGGTTAATGAATTTCTTCGGATTAAACAAATTTAATCCTACCACACAGCACAGACAGCCTTCCTCCAGTCACTGCTGAGGCCAGAAGGGACCTTTTGTGTTTAAGTGTTTCCATACTCAACCAGGTTTCCTAAGAGTGGATTTCACCCTGAATCCAATAGTAATTAGGGCCAGACCTGTCAGAAGGACCTGGAGGAAGAGCCAGTGTCAGTTCCCATTCCCAGGAAGATCATCACTGTATTTAACCACTGATGCTGAGCTCACCAAAAGCCCCCATTTTCCCTTTACTCATGAGCTATCCAACAACATTTAATACAGGAAATCCAGCAAGTTCAGACACCTGACCCCCACCACCACCCTCACCTTTTCGATCTTCTCCATGCAGCCCTTGCACGTGCTTCTGTTGGACTTGGCATATTCTGCTGCGAAGTCGCCCAGCGTCTTCTCTGCTTTGCCACCAACTCCATCTTGGCCTTTGCCTGAAGAACCAAGAACAGCAAGGCTCAGCTCAACAGTCTCTGTGTGGACCCAGAGAGTCCCTATTCCATCTGTCCCCCAGATTCTCCCACTCAGACAACACCGGGGGTTGACAACTGCAGTTGGTCCAGCTCATCTACACCTGCTTCTAATAACTGAGGTTGGTAATCAGAGCTACTTTTCTGGCAATGAAATAAAAAGCTTTCTCATCCTTTCTGAAGCAGCACAATGTAGCAGGTAGTTGTCTCATCTTCCACCTCTCTCCATTTCCTAGGCATCCCTTCTCCCTCACTTTGGAAAGTACTGATCAAGTGCTTAATAAGAAAGTCTTAACACCACACCAAATTCCAATGCCACCTTCTAGTAATCATTACACTTGCATTTATCAAATTTAAGTGCCTATTTAGAGGTAGTATCTTTGACACAGAATTAGATATAAGTATATGTAAAAATTAAATATGTGGTAAATAATTTTGAGGATAAGTGGTCAAGCATTTGGGGCAAAAGCTAGATTCTTATATAAAAAATTTCAAGGCAAGGATGTCTTCTTTTACCACTTCTATCCAACATTGCACTGCTGGTTCTAGTAAAAGCATTAAGACAAGAGAAAGAAATAAAAGCTGCAAGTTTAGAAAATAACAAGTCATCTCTATTTGGAGGTGACATGACTACATAGGAAGGCACAAAAACCCCAGCAATTACTACTAGGTGAATTCAGCAAATTTGCAAAACACAAAATATTTCCAGTACACAAAATATTTCCATATACCAGCCATAAACATTGGAAAAGGGAATTAAAACCCACTATTTAATACAACATTGAAACACACAAAATACTTAGAATGAACTTAATAGGCTATGCAAGACCCCTACACTGTAAGTGACAAGCCTTTGCTTATGGAAGACTCAATTGTTAATAAGAAATTTACCCCCAGTTTGATTCAGATTCAATGAGATGCTGATCAAATTTCTAGCAAAATTTCTAGCAAACTTTCTGAAAGAAGAAATCGACAATTCTGTTACAAGATTTAGACAAAGATCCTAGAAAGGTAAAAATAATATTGAAGAAGAACAAAGTGGGAGGAATCAATCCATGTGTGTTCATGACTTGCTATAACGTGACAGTTATCAAGACAGAGGACACCGGCAGACCCCACCAGGGGTCTTAATAATGGTCTAGACACAGACCTACAGTTATGAGGTCTTTGGTTTTGACAAAAAAGCTAAAGTTTTTCAAGACATTGGACACAGGGCAGGTCCTGCCTTTCTGACAGTCCACAGGGGCTATAGAGATGTGGAATCTGTGGTCTCAGGAACTCCACCAAGGCCCTGAACCTTCCGTGTGCTTCCGTAGTCCTCCCCACACAAAAGGACATTCTATGATTCCACTCGTATGAGGCACCTATTTCAGAGACAGAACACAGGTTCCCAGGGACGGGGTTAAGGGAGAGTCAGTGCTGAATGGGTATGGTGCTTCAGGTTGGGAAGATGACAAAATTCCAAAGCTGGATGGTTGCACAGCAACACAAATGTACTCAATGCCACTGAAATGAACATTAAAAAATGCTCATAGTAAATACTGCGTTATGTATATTCTACCAGAAAAAAAGAGCAAGCATTTAAAAAATATTAAGATTCTGCAGGAAAAGGGAAAAAAACTCATGCATACACCCCCCCTCCCCCCGAATCAGTATCTGAACAGAAAAAAATGTCCTAAGGGGTCCCCACCCCTGCCCACAGCCCAATTTAAAGATGGTGTCTCTGAACTATAGAATCTGAGATAATTAAAATTTTTGTATGTCCAAATACTTGGAAGTTAGGCTCTCTGTATGAAACATCTCTGGAAAATTAGTACATAGTATCTTAACTTTATGACAATGAGGGTTTCACAAAAGAAACACATTTACAGTAAAATTACTGTATCTTCAATTATAAAATTTTATAATTTTATAAATATAAATCATAACTAGATATACTTGGCACCAAAATGAATAATCCCCCCAACCCTGAAGACAAGAGGGAAAACAACCACAGAACACAAAATTTTGTTTTCCTATCTGCCCTCTACTAAAATCTACACACTTTCTAGATCCTTTCTTGGCAAAATTACTATTAATTTTATTCACAACTCTGAGCTGTGTTTCTGGTCTCTCCGTTTCTAGAGACAAACACACTGTCAGTTGCAAGAAGGAGCGCAGAAGGAGGAACAGTTTAGCACAGGCAGAGGGCTCCATGCAGGGAAGATCACAGATGTTCCCACTGACAGCCTCCAGTCATAAGAACACATTAAACTGGGTCAAGTTTAGGAAGATAGAGAAATGAGAATGCAGACTCAGAAGATCTCCAAAAAGTGAAAGAAATGAACTATTTAAAATTTCAAGGCATCTCAGCAGAGCTAAGTTGTGGATATCAAGAAACGGACTTGAGATAGTTTATATGGAGAGGGAGAAGACCCCAACGGGAAAATGAAGAACAGCAAAGCCCAAGGACTGACACTACCTGCTTCAAGGCTTATGGAGAGTCACAGAAATCAGCACAGAACTTGTGAAAGAACAAACACAGATAAATAGGACAGGAGACCCCAGAAACAGACCCACAGAAATAGAGTCAACTGATCTCTGACAAAGGAACAAAGGCTATCAATGGAGAAAAGACAGCCCTTGAAACAGTGCTACTGGAATGACTGGACACACCCACATGCAAAAAAGAGAAACGAATCTGACATCTTATACGCACTACAAAAATTAGATCTAAATTGATTATAGATTCAAATGTAAGACACAAAAGGAGAAAACGCCTAGAGGATGATACAGGAGAGAATCTAGATGACCCCAAGGTCATGGTGATGACTTCAGATAAAACACCAAAGATATAATCCATGAAAGAAGTAATTGATAAGCTGAATTTCATTAAAATTGTAAATGTCTGTATTGTGAGAGAGGATGAGAAGACTGCGAAATGATATTTGCAAAAGATACATTTGCTAAAAGGCTGTCACCCAGGATATACAAAGAATTCTTAAGACTCTTCAAGAATGTAAACAAAAAGTGGGCAGAATATCTGAACAACATACTCTTCACCAAAGAAGATATACAAATAAGCATATGAAAAGATGCTCATCATAAAGCACTACAGAACTGCAAATTAAAACAACCAGATACTGACACACACCATTAAGCAGCCACAACCTGGAAACCAGACACCACAAATGTTAGTGAGGATGTGGGGCAACAGCACTTTCACTGATGGTGGGAATGCAAAATGCTCCCACTCTGGAAGACAGTTTGGTAGCTTCTTACAATACTAAACATACTCTTATCACATGCCCAGCAATCACACTCCCTGGTTTTTACCCAAAGGAGTCGAAAACACATCTACACTTAAACCTGCATGGATGTTTACAGCAGCTTTATTTATAACTGCCAAAACTTGGAAGCATCTTAGATATCTTTAGTAGGTGAATCAAAACAGAAATTGTGGTCCACCCAGTCAATGGAATATTATTCAGTGCTAAACACAAATGAGCTATCAGGATATGCAGGAAGCTTAAATGCATATTACTAAATGAAAGACTAATATGAAAAGAATACATACAGTAAGATTCCAGATAGATAACATTCTAGAAGAATTATAACTATGGAGAAATTAAAACATTGGTTACTAAGGGTTCAAGGTGAGGAAGAGGATGAATAGGCAGAGCACAGGGGGCTTTTAGGGCAGTGAAACTACTTGGACTGATACTACAATGGTGAAAACATGTCATTACACATTCATCCAAATCCACAGAATCTACAACACTATGAAATCTCTAATGCAAACTATGGCCTTTGGGTAAACTTGTCAATACACAATCAACTTGTCCAATACCTGTTACTCCTCCAGCCTCCGCCGTCTTCTTGATTTTCTGCTGGTCATCCCACCGAAGCTCAGAGAACCCATCTACCTCAACATCAGGATGCCGGATAGAGTGGCCAACCTTCCAGAAGCAGGAGAAGTGGTACCAGTGTGGGACTTTTCCATCAAACATGGGTGACTGGAGGGAGGTAAATGAGCAGTTAACTTCCAACTAGCTTCAATCCAGCCCACAGCAGCTAAACATATTAAACCACTGTTTTCTTATTGGTCAAGAGAAGACAGCCTTGCCTAAGTCCTTCACAGCTTGGGTACAAAGTGAGCATCTGGTTCCACATGTCTCCTCCACGTCGTCCCTGCCTCCCCGGAAAGCTTGTAGTCTGAGAACTCGCAACACAGGAAAGGAGACTTTTCTAGACCTCAGCCCCAGGTGCCTTTTAATTGTGCACCGCTGCATTCCAGAGAGATAGGATGTGTCTCGGAGAGCTATGAATGCAAGCACACACGGACGCTGCTGTGTCCCCATCCTACCATGTCTGCCAGGAGAATTAGAGACCACGGCTTCAGTCAAACCCAGGTCTGTGCATCCTAGAAAAGTTTCTAAGTGACTCTGCAGTAACACCACCAATGATAATGAGCAAGACAGAAAATATGAAAAAGTGTGAAGTCTGCAACAGTCACACTCACGTGATCAGAATGATTTAACTTAGAGGGCAGCCGATACAGGTCCTGTGGTTAGCCTGTCAGCTTACTCCCTGGCCCCCAGGAAGCAGCATTTCCTTCTGAAGGAAATGTGAAGTCCAGCCATGTGGGAAAGGTGGTTTCTACTCACGGTGACTTTCTTTCCTTTGTTGCTTCCACCTGGGTTGGGGCTGATGTGAGAGCAGTGGACTTTCACTGTGACAGTGCCAGGCTCACGCTCCCCTGGATTCACAGGGGGTGGTAACAGTGCCAGGCAAGAGTGAGACCCATTGACTTGGTGCTGGGGTCCTCCACAAGCCATCACGTGTAACCTCACAATTGCCTCTGGGTGGGAACCCCTTTTCAGAGGTGTGTGTGAGGGAAGCTGCACAGGCAGCAAGTGAATCAGCCCCAACCTGAATCTGACATCAGAGTCCTTTCCACTACACTGCCCAGCAGGAAAAGCTGCTTTAAAAATACACCAACAGTTCTGAGAGGCAAGGGAGGCCCACCACCTGCTTTTATAGAACATAAAATTAAACGTCATGCAAATGGAGTAAAACTGTTAACACGGCACTAAAATAAGTACCCTGCAGAACTTGCAGGATGGCGCTATGGAGACAGGGGAAATAGTCTATAAAAGCAGTGACAGGTCTCCCAAAAAGCCCTCTTTCTGGATGTTGATAATAACATGTAAGGTTAAAGCTGGGACACTTCAAGAGTTCCTCAGCACCAAGCAACCGGGGGTTCATAGCAGGATCAGTTATTTCCAAGCTCAGACAACTCCTCAGCCCTACTCAGAGCAAATAGCACTTCCTCAGGTTCCCCTTAGGTGCCCTCCCCACAGTCAAGACTGAAACATTTGAGTGACCCATGTCTGCGTGTGTTTGGAACTGGGTTAGGGGTTAGAATACCCTGCGGGCCATGATACCTGCCTTGCTAGCACCTGGCAAAGCTTGCTCATGGAGGGAGGACACTTAAAACGTATCTGCTGAAGGCCCCAAGTATTCTGGAGAGAAGGAAGGATGTGGAAAACTTATTTTCCCCAAACCCTACAACAAATGGCATTTCAGAGAGCAGACTCATGTTCTGACTCCCAAACTTTCACCTGCGGTGGCCTTGACCTGGGTCTTCATGCTTGGTGCCCTTTGTCTATCTGTCCAGCAAAACTTATGCAAAGGAGGGCCTGCTCAGTGGCTTTGTTCCACAAGTGAACCCACAGCTGTGGCATTTCCCTCTGGCTCTCCTGGTGCCCCACACCTGTCATTAAGCTTTGGTCTGGGTGCTGTGCCCCCAACCGCTGGTGCTGGGCTCCTGGGAGGAGCTACCCAAAGATGTACACACAGCACAAGCTTGGGGGACTGTACATACAAGTGGACCCCCCCCCCACAATTTGCAAGCAAAAAAACCTCCCCTAGACTAAAAATTAAAAGTGGAATTATTTCTAATTTTGTTCTCTCCTCTTACCCCTCCTCATGATAACTGTTAACTGGATCCACCTGCATTGTTGGGAACTTGCAATTTGTGTTACATCCCTAATAGATTTCTGTGTCCCTGTGGGATTCATAGTGGCATCAGAAACAACTACAGAATGCTGAGAAAACACCTTCCTGGGAAAGTCCAACACCTCGACACATGTCACCAGAATGCCCAGCACCCTCCTTTGACCTGGAAACACAAAGCTCTGCTCTTCCCTCACCCCTTATATACTCTCAGCGCTCCCACTACTCAGGGAGCTGGTTTTTTTTTTGTGGGGTGCCCTATCCCAGATGATGGCCATCTCGAATAAACTCCTCCATGTAAATACATTTCCTGTGGTTCAGTTTGGTTTTCTGGGCATTAACAAAAAGACCCAATTTGGTCATTAATATAAAGATCCCAAGGGGAAAAAACCTTGGCCAAAGCAAGGCTTTACTTTAGAACTGAGACTAATGCAGCAAGGAAAACAGACCAAGGTGGTAGCACTATCTCCCCTACTACGTAGGAGCAGAGAGAACCTTGGGCTGTGTACTTAGCAGATGCTGGCTGAGCACTTACCAAGTGCTAGGGGATTCATTCAGCCACTCAGTCTATTTCATTTAGTGTAAAACAGGCCTTACAATGGCTCACCTAGTCCACAGGGACCAGAATGACAGTTACCAGGCGGTAAGGGATCCCACTTACCTGTTCTCAACCCACCCTCCCCCATTACCCACTGGCAACCCCCTCCCAAGTCAATAGGCTGGAAGGTCCAGCAGGTCCCCTGGAGTCAGCTGCAGGGCCCGCCAGCCAAGTAGCAGGTAGTCAGAGAACAATCCTCCCATACAAATGTAAAAGCAGATATTTAAATCCAAGTGAGAAGAAAGGCCTCCACCATCTCAGCCTACCAGACCAACTTTACATTCTGAATCAAAACTCCATACCCAATAACAATTACAGAAAAATCACTCTCTCTTTTAATAATAAAGAATTTCTTTCACCACCAAATTGGCCAAATGAGGGCCCAGAATGTTAAATTTTATTTGGTTCAGGAACCGGTTCCTCAGTGGAGCTGTTCCAGGCTCCCCCAGACAGTTAATGCTCCTCTTTATTCTACAGGGTCCCAACACAGGAGGTACTTAGGCTTTGTCCTTGTCAATTGGACAAGGTCCTCTTTGGCTGTCTGGTGAAGCCCATGGACGTCCCTTTATTGGAGTAACATTTTAAAATGCATAAGAAAACACATGTTCACAAAGGGAACCAATTATATTGAAATAATTATCAAAACACTAAAAACTTTACTGGGATACCGTAAACCACGCGCTTTAAAGCATTCAATAACGAGATCTAATACCTGCTCTAACAGCTGCTGTGATTTTGAAGTAGTAATGAGTGTAAACAATATTTTGAGAACTCCCAAACACTGTAAAGTGACACGAAAAATCACTATATTTGGATATCTTGGGTTGAACCTGCCATCCCACAGACCCAGAAATTAAGAAAATTGCAGTAGTTCCCTGCCCTATAACAGTAGGAGGGAACTTTAAAAGACCAGGCTGCCAATAATTTTAGGATGAACTGTCAAAGACTGTTAGAGCTAGACCCTCATCTACTTCTCAGCGCCTCCCGCACAGCTCCATCAGGAGGCAGCCACTGCTGTACAGCAGCCATTCTCTCTTTACCCAAAATGAACGGTGCCAAGGGCGGAGTCTCTCTTTGTGGTCCTCCTACCTAACACAGATGCCAGGAAACTGCTAAGGGCTCTGTGTTTACTGAATATCTAAGTGCCAGCTACTGAGGAGTGCAGGCCCTGAGGATATAAGATAGTAGCCCCAATTCCTGGTATGATGAAATGAGAGAACGTAAGTACATTTGATGCTTGGTGTTACCCCCCACACATCCCCCCACCCCATTAAGTACTGAAAATCGAGCAAGGTCTATGTGGTTATTCCTATAACACTACTGCTCCAATGCAGGGAGGAAAATCCAAGTTACCTTTACCATAAGCACTGGGCTTGGATAACAGGTAACTTTATGTTGGTGATAGGGAGGGCAGTGAACTCAGGTCATATAGGCAGACATGAGTAAACTGGAAAAGTGGAGAAGTCAGGGACCCCTGGACCTTAGCTGGGGCTTTCAGACCCAGCACCTTAACCCCATAGACAGTCTGCATCCAGGCTGGTTATCTCTAAGCTCAGGGTACACTGCAGGGGGATCCCTACCCTCAATCTATCAATATTAAAACACCGAGATAAGGAATGGAATCCCCACCCCAACCCCTGCCTCCAGTCAGTCTTACTCAAACCGGATAGCTGCAAATTTACCAAAAGAACCTATCTCTGAACCCGGAAAGTTTGGGGGCAATATATTTTAAACCACAAATTAGGCCCAAAGTGAACGCACTATACAAAAATATCAGACTTGCATAGCTTTGCATAATTAAAAAAAAATGAGGGTAAGTGGGTGTTAAAATAACCAAAAACACGTTAAAAAATATCCTCCGGGCAAGTCGCCATCAATGTAGGGCAGAAATCTTCCAGGACAAGGTAGGTCAAAATTAGATTAGCTTCAAAAGGCCACGCACACTAGGCATAAAACAAACAAGAACTCCACCACCCAGAAACAAGGATAGAAGCGGCTCCTTATTTTTACGAAGCGAAAGGCACGAACAGCCCCACACTGCAGTTCCCGGGCTTTTCCTGCAAGATCAGCAGAACCTTCCGGGAGGGTCCCCCGGGCGGGCCACTGGCCGAGGAGGGGCCGCAGCAGCGCTCGCGCGGCTCGGGGCGGTAGCGGCCGCCGGCGCCCCCGCCCCCACCGGACACGCGGAGGCGCCCGGCGCGCACAAAGCGGCGCTCCCCGCCGCACCTGCACCATGATGGCCATCCGCAGCGAGTCCTTGGGGATGCTCTCGCTGCATTTCTTACACGAAGCGCGCCCGCTCTTGGCGTACTCGGCCCGGTAGAGCTTGTCTGAGGACTCCGCCATCTCCTCCTCGTGCCGCCGCAGGCCCGGGAGCCCGCCGCCGCGACCTGGAGAGACGCGCCGCCGCCTCGTCAACGGCGCGCCGGCCGCCCGGTCACTTCCCCGCAGGCGCCTGGGAGCCCAGAGCCGTCGGAGAAGCACGCCGCGCCGACCACGCCGCGCCGACCGCCGCCGCTCGCGGATAGATTGCTGATGCCTGGCCGCGGGAACGCCCCCGGCGCTCGCGTTCCGGGGAAGGGGCGGCCGGCGCGTGCGCGGTCAGGCGGCTGCGGGGCGGGGCGGGGCGGGGCGGGGCGGGGCGGGGCGGGGCGGGGCTTCCCCGGCGCCGGCGGCGGCGCGAGTTTAGCCCGCGGCGGGTGGCGTCAGAGGCTGGGCGTCTTTGCGCTCGGAACTCTTGGGAGGGCTTAGCCCCACCCCTTTAACCATTTTGTCCCCAGTTCTCACAGCTAATGCCCACCCCCTCTTAATAAGTGTGTCCTCTTTCCCCTGAGGGCGGGCAGGTCTGGAAATTGCTGGACTGGCTGGGGAATGTGGTTGATGCGCCCAAGGAGATTTCTGTTAAATACAAATACCTGTGACTGCGGGCATTCGTTATTGCAGATGTTTTCATGCCACTTTACAGTTAGAATTCAAAATACCGTTAAGCTCATCACTACTTGAAATTGCAGTAGTTGAGTCCTGCTGCTTCTAGATCTTGTTATTTAATGTATAACTGTATTTTTATGGAACGATTTTAAAAAATCCTATGCCTGTTACCTTGTTTATTTAACATGGAAGGGATGAGCTGCATTTGAGGATATTTGGCATTGCTTTAGAGAAGAAAAAAAAAATGGGTGAAAGAAACTCATAAAACGTGTTTAATAGAAAGAAGAAAGTTAGCAGCTTAAGAGACGTGGATGTGGAGTAGGCAAGTAGGTTGTGAGACACAGACAGAATCCTAAATTGACCTGTAGGTATGTTAGGGATGTTGAAGGAAATAGAGTAAGTGAAATATAGGGTGGAACAAATAAGATATTTCCTTATTAACCAAATCAGAAGTCATGATCATTCCACCTCCCAGTTGACAACTATGTCATCTTTAAATGGTCACATATCTGGTGATAACATATGATCCCACTCTGGCTTCCATATTCTGACTTTACCCAAGAATTGCAGGGAAAACCAAAATCTGTTCAGCAGGTTGATTGGCAGGCTAAATCTGAAGCCAGGCATATTTGTCCCTGGGTCTCTAATTGGTTACTGTGAGTCACAGATACCCTCCGTTGAGTAGCCCAGAATGTCCTCAACTCTGGTCCTTATAACCCGATAGTCAGTGGGGCTGGCTGATGTGGCAAAAAGAGAAGGAACATACAAACATCATATAACCCTGGGTCTGTTCATTTCACCTCCCTGTACCTTGTCCTGTGAGTATCTATCCCAGGTTTTTCCCCTAATGGCAGGAGGGTTAAGTCAGGTGTTTTAAACTGATTCAATCAATTCTGTAATTTAAGCATCTTGATTTGGAATTTGAGCCTTTTTGTTTTGACTTCTGGAATAACTTGCCTGATAGTCTCTCTGGAAGCTGCCGTTGCCTTTAAGGTTCAAGAATCTGTGGACTTGGGCCTCCCTGGAGGTGCAAGGGGTCAAGTCTCTGCACTATGAAGCTATCAGCAGCCACTGCAGCAACAGATTGATCCCAGGCCAGGGAGCTACCCACATGGCACAGCAGACCTCGCCTGTCTTGCCCACTGCTCCCCTCAGCAGTGTATTAGTAGATCCGTCTGTTCTGCTCCCTACTCTGTCTCAGGTGAATCCTTCACCGCTTCCCATCTCTGGCCTGTGACACCCCAGCTCTTATATGCATAAATAAATAAAATAAATCTTAAAAAAAAAAAGAATCTGTGGGGCCTCCCCAGTGGTGCAGCGGTTGAGCACTGGGTTGCGTGGCTGCCTGTAGCCTCTGCAGCGCCAGTTCGATCCCCGGCCACTGGGTGAGCGTCCCACATGGCACGCAGACCTCTCCTGCCGCCCACTGCTCCCCTCAGCAGTGTACTTCGTTGGTCTGCCTGCTCTGCTCTCCCCTCTGGCTCTGGTGAATTCTCTCACCCTCCCGCGCTTCTGACTGTACCCAGTGCTTGTATAAATAAATAAATAAATCTTTTAAAAAAAAATCTGTGGATTTACAAGAGGTCCTTGGGTCGACATAGAGCAGTTAATTTCTGCTGTAGGGTACTAAGGAGATCCAGCTATATGCTATTTGGGTGTTTTACATAATTCTCCAGCTATGTCTAAAACCCCTACTAGTGCTTCCCATCACGGGAAATGGTCCACAATTCTCCACATTGCTAAAGCCAAAACAACTTGGAATCGAACCTGACTCCTTTTTCTCTTATGTCCCACATCTGATCCACCACTAAATCCTGACTTCCTGACATCCCTTTCTGCCATTTCCCCCAAAATACCCATGTTTGAAAGGCCATTATCTCTTGTGGTTCCCTGATAGTCTGCTGCACCTCCCCCTGCAGTGACCTTTAGGGCTAATGACTTTCGCCATGGTCAAGGAACCAGGGCAGGGGAGTACAGCAAAGTTCCCTGAAGACATAGATAAGACAGATGCCTATCAACAAGAATGCTGACCAAAAGGAGCCTTATCTCGTCTCTTCAGACCTACAAACTTTATCCCTTCACTCTCTTTCTAAAACTTCTTCCTTCTCTTCTATAAAGGTCATTGATTGCTAAATTAAAGAAACATATGAAATCTAGTAACAAGGATGACTCAAATGAAACACCACTAAACCTTGTGTAACAACAAAATTGATAGTTGAATAATTGCTCTGTTATATGTTAAAATTCCTTAGCTTTGATCCTTAATGAAAAAGTGTTATTACATAAAAAATAATAAGTGCACCTGTTATAATTAATAATGATTAAGGAATTTAGTGGTTAGCTAGGAGAAAATGTAATTATATAAAACAAAAGACAAAACTAATGGTCTGACTGCTTAGGAATGTGCCTAGATCCAAATGTAACTCTGGACATAAATCACTGCCTTGTCAATAAGTTAAACCTATGGGCCAACTGGTTTAGTTCACTGATAACCAATCCTATGCCTTTAGAAAAACATATATATACTGGCCACTAACTTAAATAAAATTACACTCAGATTTTCTCTCTCTTGAAGTGTGTTTGTCATTTCTTTCGCCGACTCCCTGACCACCCTGCACGCTTCTCTCAACCCTGAGACGGCCTCATCGTTCACTGCTGTGCTGGTCCGCGGCAATAGTCTTTTGCCAGGTCTCCTTCCTTGCCAGCCTCCTATAGTCTCACTCCCCTGTAAGCAAATGAAGTCACTATAGATCTCAACCTGTGTTGCTCACATGTGCAGCCCCCCACCTCACCTCCCTGCTTCTTATAACACTTAGAATGACCCTTGCCACTTCTCTGACTTCCTTGCCACCCTCACCCATATTCCCACTGCCTAGAGCATGAGGGGTCTCCTGCTGTTCCTCAAACCCCTCAAGCCCACTCCCAACTCACAGCTTCTGCATTGATTTTTCTGGAAACAGTCTTCACCTCCCCAGCACACAGCTCACCCCTTCACTCTGTTTCTGCTCACATATCACCTGCCACACCCGCTAAGGTGCTTCATCCCTATACCCCGTCTTCATCTCCTTGCTCACCTTATATTCTTCTTTGCACTTAATACTCCTAACAACATATTTTATACACATGAAGAGGCTTATTATCTGTCTCTCTCACCAGAATGTAAATTCCACAGGGCAGGAGGTTTTGTCTGTTTTGTTTATTGTAGTAACCTCTGTACCTGAAACAGTTCAAGCTCTCAAAAAAATTTTGTGAATGAATGAACCCCATACATGGCACTTCCTTCACATAATCCAACTTTTTAATAATATTGCTGCACACATGCGGATTTTCATATTTTACAAAGGGCTTCCAAAAATATTACTTTGTTAGCGCCTTACTATAAGGCCATAAAATAGGATTTTTACAAAAAACAAACAATGGTATTTGCTTAGAAGCACTAAGATAATAGAAAATATATATTTTGGTCTCTATCCTCCATTCCTGGCACAAAGCTCCTGAAATCCTTGATTCCCAAGTTTGAAATTTAGCATTCAGAGAATCTTTTGTTCTAATGAGCCCACCTGTTCTAGATGGGCTCCTGGATGGAGAACTGGTCACCAGAAAGGCCAAGCCATGATTAGAAGATTGGAATTTTCATTTTCACCTTCACCCCCATTCTCCAGAAAGGGAAGAGGGTCTGGAAATGGAGTTAACAGTTGACCATGCATTGTGAGGGGGCATCTATTAAAATCCTAACAGTATGGGGCTCGGGAAGCTTCCAGTTTGTTGAACAAAGCTCTACTGGCATGGCGATGCACCAAACCTCACAGGGACAGGAACTCCAGCTCTCAGGACCCTCTCAGACCTCACCCTGTGTCTCTTTGTCGTGCAACCATCATCTCAGGCTGGTAGGATCATTGTCAATTCTCACAGATGAAAAGCCTTCAGTGGATTTTGCAGAGCTTTAATGCTGAGACGGTGCTGTATACACAGGCAGGCAGACAGAGCAAGAGAGACCGAACACTGAGACAGAACAGCAATTCCACTGCCCAGCCCCCTTTACACTGTTAAATGCCCATAGTCACACAACAGATATATCGTTGCAAATGCAAGGCCCATTAGTTGCTTGCTAAATGTCTGAATGGTAAAACATGGTATTTCAAGGTATGGACTGTGCTGTGTGGAAGGTGAAAAATAGCATGATTTTACTAATTTTCCTTATGCTCTTCATCCAGGTATTCATTTGTATCCTTTATCACACCCTTTAATAAACTGATAAATACATTTTCTGAGTTCTGTGAGCTTCTCCAGCAAATTAATGGCACCTAAAGCAGGGATCGTGGAACTCCTGATTTGTAGTCAAATCAGATTTTGTGGGTAACCTGGGAACCTACTGCTTGCAATTGGTGTCTGAAGTGGGGGCAGTCTGGATGCAGCCCTTGATCCAGGGCATCTGATTCTACCTCCAGGCAGTGTCAGAACTGAGTGGAATTGTTGGACACTAAGTGTCACCGAGAATTTCTTTTTGTAGGGAATAATCTCCACACATTTGGTGAGCTGAAATAAAGAATTCTGTGACAGTGGT